GAATTTTCTCACTAATAACCTTTCCTGTACCCATTTTGAAAACCTTAACTAACCAAAACTATTTTAAACGTATTCTGACAGCTGTGATTAATAAAAACAATTGTCATGGCTTTTATTTTTCACAGCCACCTATGCGTTATTTGATTAGGGAGTGATAAAGTTGGTGTTTTCTACTATATATTATCAAAATATTCGTTGTTAATATTTTAAACCAACCTATAACACCCTGCTACATTTTTATTATTTGTGTTTGATAAGAAAATAAACTAAGATTTCAATAGATGGGCCAACTGAAGTGGGAAGGGGCTCGTAGTTGTTTGTTACTCAGTCTTAGAGCATCTACTATACCAGGTGTCCCAAAAGTCATAGATCAAACAAGAGGGAGTGATAAAGGGATTATTTCAAATCAGAAAAACCGTAAAACCGTTTTAAAGTACTTTTTGGTAATAGCTTCTTTTGAGATTGTTAGATTTTCTTTATTTCTTAATCAACTTTATAGGACATATTCCCAGATGAAGTATACTTAAGGAAAAGCTATCACTGAAAAAGTAGCCCAGTTAATGTATGTATAGTGGTCGCCTAAACCGTCAGTTTTCAAAAATATTCAACTAAGCTGGTCGATCAAATTGATCGGCATATACAATGGTTTTTGTGCAAGATAGACCAAATACTGCAGGTACTCTCAATCTTGAAAATTCTCATTTTGTGATCCTAATCCTCTAACTGCAATTGTCAGCCTGCTACATTCCGAATAGTTTGTAGAAATAAATAACAGGTAAGACGTCTTCTGACTGGAGTGAATTCTAAGTCTACGCAATCCAAGGGATGGCGGCTTTGACATAACATGGCATTTAGTTTACATCCAGCATTTATGCAGGGTGATCTTAGGATTTAGTACTCCATATTCCCGATACGAGCACTCAAGGTCATCCCGATTCCAGGATTTGTTAGCAATATAAACACATTAATTTGATCTTAGAAAGTGGCTCAAGAGCTAAGGTCCCACGGACCGCTCAGACAACCAACGATGACTTAATTGATCTTAGAAATTCTATAACCCTACTTATGATTTTTCCGTTACTCAAATAGGAGAAAGTGGCAGTAAACTCTCAAATGTAAATATATTCTTTGTATACATCATCCGGAAAATGTGCGATTTAAAACAATACCGTAACTGTGCTTGCATTATCTGGAAGAGCCCGACCATGCTGTAACCACGTTGTTGCAGCTCAATAAAAGCATACCGTCTAACATCTCATCTAACAGTTGTGGTTGATTGTTTCGAAGAAATTTTCCTCAAACGTTATGTCTAGCAATTCGAATCGACCAATAAATTGAGCCCATACGTTGACACCGAATCGGTGTTGAAGGTGTTTCTCGTGGATCCTCTAGAGTCGAGTGGTGTAAATTATGTATGTATGTTACAAATGCGTACTCATCGAGAACTGCCATCGTCCATCCATAACATTTTTTTTTTAAACTGCGGACAACAGCTCTCTACCTAATACTCAACTTACTACCGACCATGCTACAGCAACAATCCATAAAATGCGGCGCACACTACTGGAAAGCCAATCTGCAATTTTGTACCTACTTCGTCTTCAGAATCTACAACGATTATTGGTCATTCTGTTATTATTAGTCTCCCAGGCACTTCTTCTGAACGATTGTCGGAAGAATTTGCTCTACTGGGATATCGGTTTCCATATTCTTCACCATCAAGCATTTGCATTGCACAATCTGTAATTGAAGAATCTTACAATGAAATCTCAATACCAAAATCACACAGATACTGTCTCTGAACCCTTTTATAGTAAAGACTTTGCTCAGTATTCCTATACGTGTTTTATTACCCTATTTGTATCAGGTAGCCAAATAAGTTCGTGCGGTTGCTGTATATCGCACATTGCCATGGATGTTGTTGATCGATAGCGATTGTTTGTTACCTGTTGTCGCTTTAGTATGTATGAATCCTTCTTTTCTCCCACACATAAAAAGTTGCTAAAAATTGTTAAATACCTAGTTTTAATAATTGAAAATGGCGACGAATAGAACAGTAATTCGAAGTTGTTTACTGTATGAGTACAAACTTGGTACAAAAGCCGCAGCGGCAGCGTGAAAAATATGTATTGCATTCGGAGATGATTCCGTTAGTGATCGAACAGCACAGAAGTGGTTAAAAAAATTTTCTTCGGGAGATCTCAGTTTGAGCGATGAACCGCGCTCAGGGAGACCAAAAATCATGAACAACGAGGATCTTCGACAGTTTGTGGACGCAAATTCAACAACGTGCCAAGAACTTGCAGAAATGTTTAGAGTGAGTCCTGAAACTATTTGCATCTTCATCAGCTAGGAAAGACATGGAAGTTAAGCAAATGAACTGACAAATGATAACAAATTAACTCGTCTTACCATTTGTTCAGCAAACATTTCACGCAACGCTAATGGACCATTTCTTAATCGGTTATTAGCCTGCGACGAAAAATGGATCTTCTATTCGAATTGTAAGCGTTCGTATCGTTGGTTGTCGCCTACTGATTCGGTACCACACACGCCCAAGGCTTCCTTGCACCAAACAAGGTTTGTTGTGTGTTTGGTGGACAGTAACTGGAATTGTCCATTACGAGTTTTTGGAAAGGGATCAAACCATAACTGCTAACTTGTATTGTGAGCAGCTTCGACGAGTACAAGCAACACTCAACCTGAAACAACCTTCTTTGATCAATCGGAAAAAAGTGATCTTCTTGCAGGATAATGCCAAGCCTCATACCGGAAAAGTGACCCGAGAAAAAATTTCTAAACTCGTCTGGGAAACGTTACCGCTCCCGCCATATGGCACAGGGTCATTGAATGTGATGGTAATTACTTCGATGAATAAACAGTGGGTTATTGTTTCTCAATAAAAAATTATATTTTTCTAGTAAAAGCCGCACGAACTTAACTTGGTTACCTGATATTACAAAAGGCAGGCGTCAGATTCGTCAGCTACTGTAAATCCTTCGTCACTCAAAATAATGACAAATCTGCCATCCCTTACGTTGAATATGAGTATTTACTGCCCTTTAGTTGTTTCCTGATTTTATTCTGAATGAAAAAGATTTACAGGCAGTTAGAGGGCTTAAAAGGTATTTTGACAGGCCAATATATCTAGAAAACAAACTCAAGAAGATAAATGGTCTTTGTTTAATGATTAAAATTTAATTTACACTTGTTGGTAGCCCACTGAACATCTAATATGTTGTTGCAGAATCATCTACAGCGGATAGGACAGCGGCCAGGAGGTGTAGTGGAACGACATGCACCGCTTCATCGTGCTGAAAGTGGTACCGTGACTGCCGAAGATATGCGGCAAAGTGGACTCAGAACCCCGGCAAAGTTTACAACAGTCTTTGAGTTACGGGAAGGAGGGTCCCATTCTTTAGTTTCAAGGTAAAGTAGTAGAACAGATACGCTGTTCGGGACACCTACTGCACAGCTTAGCTGGAATGCGTAACCCTTCTGAGGAGGCTATGGAGGTCCGTTTTATAATAGAATGATATCTACAAATAGTAGAATCATCTGAAACATTGATATTTGACGCGATGTTCTGTCTGTTTAGGTAAATATACAAATATTTTTTCTTTATATTTTGACAAATGAAGGAATTTTCATAAATCTGTTTAGATAGAATAAATTCTAGTGAAACATACTCGTAATACAGAAAATGTATTTTATACTAATTCCTACTTGCCTTCCTAGATTTGATGCATGAGGCACTGAAAGGAAAGATGCCTGGGTGTTGTAACGGTTGTGCTAATTGGTCAGATCTTGGTAAAAAATTGAGACAAAAAAAATATGCTTCTGTACTACTCCAATCCAAGTCCTAAAATCTGTATGCCCGTTATCATCTTAATTTTACCTAGAAGGTGGAATCTATCCTTTTATCATAAAAGTATTATAAATGTGAATATTTTCCAGTTTATCAGCATCACGTCTGAACCACAATACCGAGCAAGATAATCAATTGTCACGACAAGTATCAAAATCAGCATAAATCCGGCAGCAGCGCGGCCTGCTATCGCCTCGCTCAACCTGTGACCTTCAAGCGATAAAGACGTCTTATTTTACACTAGATGCTACCCGCGAGTTCGTACGCTTGAAAATGTAACTAAGATAATGGATAATTTTTAAGTAATGCTATAAACCATCTTTGATGGCATTAGCAAATTGTCAGCCAACTTGCATGCTTGGGATATTTAGTTACTTAGCTACACTAGGGTACCGAAAACGAACATAGCAGCGGAACACGTCGCAACACGAAATCTTCTGCTGCTCTCTTCCTTTTCGGTACCAGAGTATAGTGGCGCCGTCTACATATTCCGTCAAATTGCGGGGCACAAAGCTAGTAATACATAGAAAACAATTCATATGCAGCTTTATTCATAAGATTATACCAAATCGTTTGAGACTACATGACTAGGTCACAGTTACCTGTGAAAAGCAGCTTTCTAACATGTGATGACGGTTCCCCATTTAGGAGTACAGAAACGCGTAGGGCAACCTGAAAAGGGGAGAGAGGTAAGTCAACCATCCGAGCATGCTTCGACATAGGCAGGCTCCCACCCCCCCAAAAAAAAAATCAGATAAGCGACGGGACTGTCTTTCTTTGGAGTCCATATTAATCCACTCGTCGACCCCTGCGAGCCGCAACCAACCAATGATCAGATATCAATAATACCCGGGCACCCAATGATGCTTTGGGAGTGGGAAAACCTTTTTTCCTAAAAGATGACAGCCTTTAGGACTTTATTTTCCTGGCTCTCCTACTAATTACAGTTGCTCATCTTTGTTTGCGTCGTCATTCTTGCAAAATTGATGAAATGATCGCCTATTGGTATACATCTTTCTTACTAGACTGCCACTTTTCCTTTTGTGGGGACGTTTTGAATTGAATTTATGGGAATCTCCACTTCTTTAGAAAATACCCATTTTATACCGTAGTACATCATTTGCCAAGAATCTCAGTTTACCGAATCAGTACAGTGTGTCGTTCAGTCGCAGTTTGCTTTGGGAAATGCGCTCCTCATAGTATTTGCTATATTAGCCGTAACATTCAGGTTGCTGGGCTACCGACGTGTGACAGAAAAATCCGTAAAGTATTATCCACAACTTTGTTTTTAGGCCGTGGGCCGAACTAGTCACCCAAGAGTTAAATTCTTAGATCGTGATAACAGCATGGTTCCTATTCTTCCGAAAAGGTAGTGTCACGTAGATTGACTAATTGCTTCCCACACATTCAGGTGTGCCTATTTTCAAATTAGAAAGTCTTGACTCAAATGGTGCATAAATACTTTCATCCTTGTTGTAACATATGTATGTAAGACAAAAGTAAGTCTTGCTAAAGAATCAAAATTATTGAGCCTTTAATAATGTTTTTAGGTGCGGTCTAACCACATAGTATGTAGAATTGACTTTTTGTTTTGTTTTTGGCCAACTCAATGGCCTTTTTCAAATTATCAGAAACAACGAAACCAAATATTCAAATAAATTCAAAACGTTACATCCCCACATTTTTTACCACCAAAGGTTTTCAAAAGGTTGTAAAGCATACATAAATAATCTTTGGTAACGATGAAAAGTCGTTTTTTTTGCTCATAATACCGCTGCCACTTAAGCGATTTGCAGCAATACCTCCTACGACTCATCCAAATCGGCATAGCCAGTTCCGAAGTTACGAGGGTAGCATACGGCCAATGCAAATATAGACCGACGGAGATGAATGGTATGGTATTTACGTGTTATAGACATCGCAAAACATTAGAACAAGTGGTTATTTCGAGGAGAAATGAATGAAGAAAAGCGCATATTTATTACTTGCCGAGCGTTAATTGTAAAAATCAATATTTACTTAGTCAATCTGAAGCATTTATTTATTCAACACAGGGGTTCTTGTTTTATTCTGTGAAAAGTCATCACCTCGAATTTTGCCCTCCTTGTTTAGTTCGTCACAATTGGGCAGGGCCCGCCGTCAAATTCAGATATGGAGCACCTCGGAACAAAGCTACGTTACTGGTCTAACTTACATCAACTGCAAATTATTTCAATGATTAAACTAATTACTCATCATGCTTTTCTTATTCCAGGCCGTCGTCGTTCGACCTAGCCAGTTCAACCTTGGCTCAAATAGCTGGCTATGCGGCATGCACTGGTCAAATTCTGAACATCGGTGACGTCAGAGCATGGTTGAAGGAGCAACACTCCGAGGGTGACGCTGAGTCTGCAAGAACCATCCTTTGCATGCCCATCATCAATGGTCAAAGGACTATCATCGGTATGAATTGATACTTACCTACATCCATGCACTAGATATATTTATAAAGTATCGCAGAATAAAATTTAAATCTGACGCGTATAGGATACAAGTTCCTCTTTAAGGTCGTGACATAACCTTGGCTCGTCATATGATGACGTCCATGAGAAACCATTATGGCCTGTCATCCAAAAGTTATTAACAAAAAACCGATTTTCAATTATTCCCTTCTGAATGTGTCCTTTGACTGAGTTTAAATGTAACCAGAAAAACAGCTTACCAAAACCAAATCCACCTCCTCTGCACCGCTTTTCAAAGTTGCAACAATACTAACTCTTACGATACAAACTGAGGAAATAAAATTAAATGTATAAGCTTGTATGAATGTGTCATTTGTGAAATGCAATGTATCGGATCTATTTTCTATGTGAAGCACGGTATATCATCAATCTTCATCTAAGCAAATTCGAACGAATGGATGAAAAAAGAAGCGTGTTAGTTTTTCGTGAAGAGAGACTGTTTCAAGTTTAACCGGAAGACCCAGGCGATCGTTCCAGAAAAGTATGAGGATAAAGGGAATGACCTAGTTTCAGCTTATATCAAGCAGGGAACTGAGGTGGGTGGTCCAGTAAATTTACGAGATACTTGAAAGTTGCTCTAATGACAAATATGATTTCAGGCGCTAGCGTTTGATATGGTTAGGACGCATAGAAAAACGCTTTACTACTGTTTTGATGGATGTCTCAATGCATTACATCTAAATTGATACTGCAAGATCTCATGCTCTCATGGCCACTATCTGGGGTGCAACGTCGAGTTCTACTACAATCTAGTGCTGTTAAGGAGAAAAGGTGTTGTCACAGTCACTTGCAGTTCAAGGCAATGATCCTCCTTCTTCTTATGTTGTATCTGTTTATCGGATGTTAGCGAACAAGTTCGCTATCAATACTTTCATTATTCTTTGAAGTGAATCTGCTATTTGACTCACAAGTTCGTCAGCCGGCACGTGCTATGTCTTCGTGGTCCTTTCTTAGTCTCAATCTTCCCTTGTCTGAAATGTTGTATTCTAAAGGATGCCTCATGATGGCGAACCTAATGAATGGAAATTGAGTTTTTCAGCAACAGTGTAACTAGCGAATGTATAAAAGGAACAAAAGACACTAAATCATAAGATTATTCCTGAAGCGAATTAAATTACGGTAGCAGTACGCATCTCATTTTTGCCTCGGAGTTTCATATTCTAGTTTAAGCATCGATTAACACCACACCAACCGCTGGCAAAAAAGTTCTGGTAGAGAGGGAGTCAGGTTCATGTTCCATCTTGGGGGGATAGGGGTATTGCATAGCCGCGTGGGGGCAGCATGTGGTGCATCAATGATTCAGAGATAAAGTCCCATTGGGACAACTAAAGAGTGGGGGTCCAAAAAATATTAGGTTTCAAGCTGATTGGTCTAGAGGAGACTGAATCCGCCCTTGGAGGCGCTTACATTCCACACGAGGTTTATCCTGTATTATATAAGGAAAACGTATTAGGTCCTAGGATTATTGAGGGGCTTGAGCACTAATGCGCTCCTCCTGAATATGCCAGTGACTGGAACCCGATCGAAAGCTTTTCGAAAATAACCATGCATACCGTGGCGCTGCCAATCACTTATTCTGACAACTATATACCTATACCTTCCGACCACCGTCTTTAGGTGTCATCGGACTGTTACCGCACTATAAGGAAGTTTATTTCTGTCATTGAAACAATCTGGGAATGTGAAATTTTAGAAACAACCACGTGGGAGGTTGAGGAATGATTTCTCCCTTGCAGGCTGACGTCATATCTAAGAATAAGATCTTTTTTTAAAAGGAAAATTAAGCATTTTAAACACTTCTAATAGAGCTATTGACCAAATAGTGTGGTTGGATATCTTCTTACCACAAGAATACCAGAAAGCTATTGCTTCACTTTTATCTATTGTTTTTAGGTGGTTGGTTTCATTTCGTAAGAAAGATCATTTGCTTGATATGGATTGACTAGGCTCAAATTTCATTTTGCAGGTGTCGCGCAACTGATTAACAAAGAAAACCAGGCTCCATTCACAGAATGCGACGTATCCTTGTTCGAAGCGTTCGCCATCTTTTGTGGTCTTGGCATACACAACACCCAGATGTATGAAAATGCATGTAAACTTATGGCGAAACAAAAGGTCAGTGGTTTCAATTTTATTGAATTCAATTATTGCGTTCCAGTTTGAAAGAATGGTGATGGAACCTACTGCACTCGAGGTGGACAACCTAGTTTAAAAAAAAAATGTCAGATGCGATCACTACTCGAACAACGAAGTGATATGCCTACCAAGACAGATAAGGCGATTGAAATGACACAACATTGTGCTTAACAACGTGTTATTTTATTGCGAAGGACGAATACCATGTTGCCAGATAGATACTTATTTCTGGATGAATTTGTTGTCCATCACTTTAGCGGAATAATATAGATTTTTTGTTCAAATTTTGTTTGGTGTAGACTTTTTTCATGGTGGCGACATTTATCATCCATTTGCAGTCTACAAAGTATTATTTTTCATTCCATGTGTACGTTGCCCGTTGGAAAATATTCTTTCTTGGTATTACTTCTCTTTGACTCAACATCGACAGTTTTTGTAAAAAAATGAAATGTGTTTAATTACTTGACACTCTAGACAGAAACTATAATGTGGTTTAAACTAGATAATATTATGGAAACTAGTATTATCAACATGGAAAGAGGGACTGCAATTTCGTTCTGTTTGGCGGATCTCATTAATTTATTTTAATTTCAAAAAATTTACGTTGATTTCAACATTTTGTTCTTGACCTAAGGGCGATAGAGATTCGAATTTTTACATTGGTCTAAATGGGCAGTGACAATTAATATTTGCACCGCTATTGAGGTACGGTCGGTTAGTAACTTATGGTTGTGTAACTTAGGATTAGGATATGTAGAATTCAGACAGTCACTTAATAGTCTGAAATCGAAAATAAATCGACAATGTTTTTATAATTTTAAAAGTTGGAAAATATCTAGCTTTTACAACTGGTAAGTAAATAGCAAAGTGTATACGAACTACGAGTAAATGTTACATTTTGAGAAAATTATAGGTTCATAATGTACTGTCTTTCGGCATACTTTTGAAGCAAATGTAAGAGGCCCTTCAAAGAGACCAAATACGGCCTGTTCTTGTAGTCGTGCTTTTGTAGTTTTACCACAGAAAAGGCTTTATGGTTGTAGTGGATCTATTTTAGCTCTATTTTGAATACTAAGAAAGTGTTTCTACATGTATCACTTAAAAATCTAGAAAGATGTGTTACATTTCATAAAAAGGGTTACAAAACTGAAGGCACTTCTTTATAAACATGCAATATGTAAGAAACAGATTTTGAACGATAAAGCTGGATTAAACAGGATATATTTTAAAAATCTACAGTTGTAAAACTATTTGAGAAAGTATAGATACGAATCCAGAGATGATAGAGGCTTACCAACAATCAGTTTCTAGCAGTCATGAACCGGTTTTTACAGTAGGTCAGATCAATAAGAATCTCACAGTCGTAATCTCAGTGATATGATTTGTTTGATAGCTGCATTTGACGAAGCCATGCTTCATTGTATCTAATTGACGATCACTGTAAACTGACACATTCAACTTGTTCATTTTCAGGTGGCTTTAGAATGCTTGTCATACCACGCGACTGCTAGCAATGAAGCAACAGAGAAGTTGATCAAGGAGCACATTCCTTCAGCCCAAACTTACAACCTGTACAGCTTCACTTTCGTTGACTTTGATCTCTCCGATATGGACACTTGCAAAGCAACGGTTAGGATGTTCCTGGAGTGCAGTTTGGTGCAACAGTTCCACATTCCATATGAGGTAACTTCGGATAATAATATTAACTGGATATTAGTTTACTAAATGAAAACGTTACTTCTAGATTTAAAATGAAGTCAAATAGACTGACTATGTGGGTCCTAGACAACTCCGTCAGCAGTGAGCATTAGATTTGGAAAAATTCTCATGTCAGTAAGGCCCGTATCGTCAGTCGTCCCTACAATTATTGTAGGGCGCGTTTATGGCCTCCTTGATTGTCATACTCCTTTCTCTCCTTCAAAAATTTCTAGATTACACTTATCCCGTGTCAGCGTCAGCGCTCTCCTATTGTGAAGATATGTTTTCTTTTTAAATTGTAGGAAATTTCAGGATGATAAAACATGATATAACTCAAAAGCAAGCACAATTTGATGCAAATAGATGTTTGTGACATAACCTCAAAATAGAGCGCTGACACGGAGAAGTAGAAAACTATGACAATCAAGGAGGCCATAAAGGCGCCCTACAATTGTAGGGACGACTGACGATACGGGCCTAAAGCAAGAACATTGAATAAAAATGGATCAAGTATATTCAAATGACTAATATTTTGTCAAAACTTTACCATGTTTAAATATATATTATGTATAAGGAAATTTCAAGTCTCAAATTGCGCATCTCAAATCGGTGGATTTAGAAATAACCGTTTAAAAACTTTATTCGAGGACCGTTACAATGAACTGACTATGACGGAATCTAACAGGGAACTGAACAGTGGTATAGGTACGCAGCGCCTATTTATACCTTAGGTTTTGCTTACAAGGCACACGTGGCTTTCTGTTGAGGATGCGTTGAGGGCTTACAATAGGCGACAGTTCAGAATACAAAGTACAACAGCACAAAGGGAAGTTGTTATCATTACTTAATACACATACACATTTGCGTCTGACAGGCAAATGTGTGGGAAATAAGTATCAATCAAGCATACCGCAGTCAGATAGTTTGTTATAATAGCACGTTTTTTATCAATTCCAAATATCCAAGGGTTACAACACCCTACAAATCCCAACTCTCAATTTTCAACTCCCCAAAACTTTTTGGAACCCTAAAATCCCAAGAAGCGGATTTGAAACATTTTCGTTTTTCGTTTCATGTATTTTTTTCAGAAAGGACACCCTTTTCGGCATTGGGAAAGTACTACGTGACTAAATTTCCATCGAACTTATAGACCGATCAGACAGACGATAACGTGTACTTTTTTCTGACATACAACATGTGACATCTGAAGGCGTAACTCAAGAAATTTATATACCCCTTGGTATAGAGATGTATGAGGGTGAATCAAATATGAACCGGACTTTTCTGTTTAACGCGCCATAGGTGAATGGATAGGGGCGACGTCTTGATATATGTTGGGTGGGGATGTCAGGAAGAGGGGAGTCAGTCGGCCTGGCGCGCCGCAGCGCCGAAGTAGATGAGCTGCTGGTAGCATCATGTCTGAGCAAGAGTTGCACACGGCTGTTGCGCAACACATTATCATCAAATTTTTGTCCCGGGAGTGCGTAAAACCTTCCGAACTTTTGCGTCGACTAACAGCACAGCTCGGCGATAAGACAGTTTCAAGGACATAAGTGTTCGACTGGCAAAAATGTTTTCCATGGAGTGGCGGAGACCTGGAGAGACAGCTCTGCGAAAACCCAAGACCAGCTTTGTTGCAGGAAAAGTTCTTGCAACGGTATTTTGGGATTCCAGAGGTGTACTGCCAAGTGATTTCCTTCTCGATCGCCCTACAGTTAATGCTAATTATGTTTGGCAGTTGCGAACGAGGGTTTAAAAAATAACTTTTATTTTTCGCTGATGAATCTCACTACCACTAGAATAGTTGATAGCTATGTGATTACCAAACAAAAGGTACAACGGTTGTTATAAAGTCGTATAATAGGAATACACAAATAAGCTAATTCTTAAGGAGCATGGAGGTCGTATCAGGTTGCATATATGAGATAATTCTAAGTTTTCTAACAACGGTAATAGAATGACATAATATGTTCTACAAAAAAAAAAGAAACCACTACGCCATAGGTAGGAATTAGGATAACACCAGTGCCCGTATTCTTGACCTCAATAGAAAATCTCACTCCCTCTCTTTTTCTACTCCCCCGGTTTTCTATCGATTCGAAAATACTGTATTCTTGAAAGGACTCGATAGAATGTGTAAATGTGTTAAACCAATCAAAATGGAGATAATTTTGACAGTCAAACACTAACCAAAGATTTCGGTCAAGATTTCCTCATTATTTTATCCGTGATTTTATCTATTGTGTGTGGTTGATTTGATGCCTCCGTTGCCTCCTTTATTGATCTACTCATCGATGCCTGGCTAATCCCAACAAAATGGTTGGAGCCAGTGATCTCCTGGTGGCTGCCACTAGCATAAAATCTTAGAGTTGCCAAAACCTAGAAATTTTCAATTCTTGATTAAATTACTCGGCTCTTTTGCCTCTGTATGGATTTCATCATAGATCAAAGGATAGGTACTGTTTTAGAATGACTAAGACTTACTTACCTCTGTTGTGATCGAAAGTGCAGAAGCTCGTCGGGGTGGTTGTATGAATGGAGTTAATATCTCCAGCAATTCATACACCAAATGATTGATCTTTTGAGACAAGTGGCTAAACTTTCGCAGACAATAAATAAACGTACAACAATTATTTTGATTTTTTTTATTCTAGATCTGGTCACGCAATCAAGATAGGGAAGGTAAACAAAAATTGGATTATTTAACTACGTCATCAAAGTTTCAGATAGTTTTTTCCGAGCCTTGAAGTTCAAAATATGTCAATTAGACGCATGTATGTTAATCTAGATAAATTTGTAACATGTTGCTTAAAGCTTAATTCTGAATCCATCGGGACTCCTAAAATCTTTTCATGGTCGACCATAGGAACATACGCATTATTAAGTCTAAGGACAATTTTCGCTGATCGTTCTAATGAGCCGTATTCATAAAACAAAGGATATCCTTGTACTTGCAAATTTTGAAGGAAATACTCCAGATGGTACTTATGATAATTTGAAGTAAATGCTTTTGCTTTTTGAGTATGATCATATCCTTCAAAGCAGTGACATAAGTGAAAGGATATTCATAATCTTCACCTTATACTTGGCATAGGAAGCATATCCTTCAAAAATTCCGAGTGTGGTCAGTAGCAGACTCAACTTCGTAACGAAAGGTGGTCAAAAGATGATGGCGGAAATTGTGGATGTTAGGGATGTTACTATAAAACGTACAACCCTCGTTTACCTTCACTTGGTCGTGACTTCAAAAAATTATATCGGTTCGACGAAGCAAATGTACAATGGCTTACGGACAGATTTTTAGTTGAGAATGAGGAGACTCGAGGAGGAGCACTTTCATGTATTCATAAAATAAAGAGATATCTACGCTATCTCGGTGACTCTGGATGTCAACAATGTATTGGTCAGGAACATGGTGTTAGTCAAGCAACGGCATCTCGGACTGTGGATAGAGTTGTGAACAGCATATAGTTGCACAGTCGAACGAATGGATCAAGTTTCCAACTACCAACCATGAACTGATGGAGGCCAAGCGGATATGGCAAAGTATGTATAAATTTCCGACAGCAATTGGTGTAATTGATTGTACACATATAGGAATCCTGAAACCAAATCGCCATAGAGATGAGTATATCAACCGAAAAGGGAAACCTACTTTAAACGTTTGAATTCCCCATACCAACGGGATATTGTAGACTGATGTGGCGCTTCGTTACCGAAAACAGACCGTAACTCAGCAAGGCATTCTTGTTGCGATAATTGTCTCTGAAAGTTGTAACAAATTATGGCGCGAAAATGTTCTTGGTTGAGTTCCATTTTTCTAATGACTTGGTGACACTTAAAAATTCACTGTAGTGGGAACACTGCACGTATCGTTGTGGAACTTTTTTTTTTTTGGCTTTAGGACCAGGCCATGCAGCCAGACACTAGGTTGGTATATTTATATATCTAATTCTGGACAAACACACGACGTCACAACATCATGGCGAAGGCGAGATTCGAACTCGCGGCCCGGCCGGCCGGCTGATCAGTAGCACGACACTCTGACACACGCGGACAACCGAGGTCCCGTTGTGAAACTTTGAATTTAAGTTTACTAAAGAGTGAGGTTAAGATTCAGTACTGACGTTCGATCCGCGCGGCCTACTATGTTTCTATATGCAAAACTTAAAGGACATCCCTCGTAATAAGGATAATTATTGCATTATCATCGGTTCTTGGTACGTGTGCGAAGTTTCAAATTAATCAAACTTCTGAAAATTGGTAAAAATTATTCTAAAATATTCCGTTACATACATACATATGTTACATAGAGGCCAAGCTAATAAAAGCGTGTTAAAAAAAATAATTAAAGCGTGTTAAACAAAAAAAAAAGGTATATCACAATCTGCCTTCTTTGAGGATTGAACTCACGACCCCTGGTTTACAAGACCAGTACTCTGCCACTGAGCTAAAGAGGCTTGTAGTTTCAATATTCGGAATGCGGTATTTCAAATCTGTGGCTTTTCATTAACATATCTGCTTTTTACAGAACTTTACTTATGAGAATAATGGAAAACTGTTATCAAATTATTGGATTGTCATCGGTACTTGATACGTGTGCGAAGTTTCATGTTAATAAAAAAGATACCGTTACATATGTACGTGTATGTACATATCTACAATAAAAGCTTGTTAAAAATAAGATGTAAATAAGCTTGTATTTACTATACCAATAAAGCAATAGTCCGGTTAATATTAATTTGATTCACCCTCGTATCTAAGACTACGTTCTGTACCAAGTACCATAAATTTCCTTTTTTTTCTCTTTAAGCCCCGTATCTATGGTTAATCGACAAAATTGCAGGTATTTGTTTGAATTATTTAGTCTTTAGGATATATCTAAGTTATAAGATAAATTATTGCTCTCATTTAATTCCCCACTGAAAACTTATTGTTGCCATTTATAAGATTTGAGGGAAAATAAAGGAAGCACAATTTGCCTTGCACATAGGAAATTTTCACTTATATATTCCAGTTAGTATCTCTCTTTTGTCATATCATTTTACTTTCTCGTGATACTTTGTTCACTTCCACGTACCATATTATTTTGGAAGAACATATGAATAAACGAAGCAAACTGAGCTCTAGACATATCACCTAGCATACTTAATTACCCATACGATATTATGGCCTCCTTGAAGCAGTTCCTGCTATCACTTCCGCACTCTGATGCAGGGCTCCCAAGGAGTTATATTTGCTTAAAATGCTGTATAAGAAACAAAACCAGATGAATATTCACAAATGACCAACGACTCCAATGTAAGGACTGATTAGGTTCAATTAAATTGAGTTAGGGAAACATGGGGTTTTAAAATTGTACCGCCTTAATGTTTAGTAATTTTCGGTTTCTCGCGCCATCTACTCGTAGTTAGCCTGTTTGTTGACCAGACATATCTGTTGAAAAGTTTAAATCTGTTGGAATATGTATAAAACGTCTTCAAGCTGCAAACATTATACTATATTATGCATTTATACCTTCTGGTAGTTGAGGTACCGCTTTTCGTAATTAATGACTACTTTAGGCAGGTGAAATTGGCCTAATGTCATTTAAAAGAAAATTAAACAATTTGTGTCAATCATACCGGTTCGGCAAATTATACCACCATTTGCTTTGGTAAATTGTACCAGAAGGTCTTGTAGAGTATATGCTCACCAATGCATAAATGCAGACTATATTTGTGTTTTTGGAGCTTAAATTAAATAAGTATCGTCAGTTATTTCTTGTGATAATGCTTTTGCATTGCCAATGTGCTCCAAGTCAGTGATTCCTATGTTTAGCTTTGATTAATTAAACTTTTCAATTATACGGATATCTTAAGCGATTCGTTACAGCAATATGTTGTTCCTAGTTTATCATTTCTGTGTATAAGTTTGCAGAATAAAAGTTTGATTCATCACCATATCTTATTTTACACATCTGTCCCACACACTACAAAAATCTATTGCTTTTTGGTGAGGTACAATTTACAAACGGCGAGGTACAACATTACGAACCGGTTCGATAAATTGTACCAATTGCAACATTTAAAAAAAACTTATTCATCTTAACTACCAGTTTAGTTAAGGTCTTCGTTGCGAACTTTCATATACGCATGTAAAATAATCTTTATTTAAATTATTATTCGATTCAAATAAGTTATTTCATAAAATATGTCCAATGGTACAAATTTCCCAACATTATTCCACCCACAGTTTCCACACAACATTGTATCCTTCTCGAACGTACATGACGCTCAATTCGACTTGTCAATTGATAGGTCGCGATTGTGATATTTTCACCTACTTGCGTGCAGCAAATCAATTTTCAAATAAGGATAAATGTGCGTTTGTAGGAGAAAACGTCAATACCTTTTGTGGCGGCAATGTGTGCAGTAACTATGACAGAAAAGACAACAAAGTTTCAACAGTATTCAAATGATGTCAAAAGCAGTTTGAGCGTCTATGGTACGTTGCACCGTTTCTCTAACACAGTTACGATTAAACTTTATACGTATGTACTTTTAAGATTGGGTATGTGCACTGACCCAATTTTAAACAAATTATTTCCTAGTCGGGTCATTTTTCACTAGCGTTAGCTTCGAAAACGAGGAAACTGTCTTATGGTGGTTATCGGAGGGTTAGGGATATAAATCATACTTTCTAAATTTCCCAAGATATAAGCGGACACTTTGCAGCTTCGGACGATAGTGACGGTTTTTATTCTCGATTTTTTCTCCCGGTGATAAATTGCGCAATTTCTCAGATGTTAAAAGGAATGAATTCTAAGTCGCAATGCGCTATCAAACGCCAACTATCTATTTATTACTGTATACTCGGAAAAATGTTTATCCTATAGAGAAAAATGGAGAAACATATCTTGTAAGGGTGTTTCATCAGTGGAAAATGTTCTAATCCGGTATAACTCAAGGCTCCGTGTTGGAACAAATATTCTACTTAGTTTATACATTTGATTCACTTGCCTTCATCACTGCAATATTCAAACTTACGCAGATGGCACTCAGCTGACTAACGCATCTGATTCATTTGACTAACATGAAGTGCCATACAAACTGAACTTAGATATAATTAATATTGAAAACTACTGTAAGAGACTTTTAGCCGTATTCATAAAAGAAAAGCATATCCTCGGAAGCATAAGGTAAAAGTATAGGGTCTTGCTTCGGAGAAAAAGGTAGAAGTATATGCATATCCTTGTTTTCATATTTATAATGATTACCTTATACTCGCAAGGATATCCTCCAGGAAGAAGTGAAAGGTTGACTGGTATTTGTATCTTGGGCGACATGTCCTGACTAGTTCCAGCTTGTAGTTGACGTGGGAGTTCGTTCACTCAGTATCACTGACAGCTGTACTCCAGAGCTTACACAGACCGTTCCGTATTTTTACTGGATACAGTTTTTTATTAAATTAATAAGCATGTCATCCTCAAGTGATGAAACTATAGAAAATAATGGCAACGACCTGCAGTTCACCGCAGATGAAATTGCCATTGCTCCCATTATTTTGCAAAAGTCACAAGTTCCAAAAATAAAAATGAGAAAGGACGACGCCTTGAAGAATATGTTGAAAAAATAGGAATCAACATTCTAACTAAAAGCTTATTAAAGAAAATCAACAACATGAAATCAAGGTTGAAGAAAAAAAACAGATCTAAACAAACTGGTAATAAACCAATTAAATTGTTAGCAAGTAGCAAGTTGCTGAAAGCTATGGAGGATGACTGTAATCCTACAATTGGGAAAATTAGAGGTGCCATTCAGGTCGGTAGCGTTCAAGAAGAAGGAAGTGAACTATATACCAAGCACAGTGAGCAAACAGTTAGTATTACAGCGCCAGCAATTCAGAAGACATTGCCACGAAAAAGAAAATTAGCAACAGAGAAACACGAAATTGAGGAAACCAAAGGGTTAACTACAAAAGAACTGCAACGTCTAGTGCTATTACACCAGTACCAAACAAGTATTTTACAACAAGAGTATTATAAAACGAAATTAGAAATGATGCAGCGTCAGAAGTCACCTGTAACTTATGATGCTCACGAAAATAAAACTTATTATAACTTATAAATACACTTTAATCAGTAAAACTATTTATTATAATACTCAAGCATCTTCTTATTTGTTGACCTAGTTGGCGGAGAGGAAGTTCGTCATTCTCATGATTTCCTTCATTTTCATCTGGGTCTTGTTCAACTAACTGGAAGTCAGGATCGCCCAAGCTCTTCGCAACATTATGGAGTACAATACAAGCAATAATTATTTTCGGCACATTTTCCAACTTTACGCGGCTAACATGCTGTAGGATAGGAAACCGGCGTTTCAGTTGGCCGAAACAGCGTTCAATTATAACTCTTTCTTGTTTTAAAAGCTTATTATAATTTATTTCTGCACCTGGAGTAGGATTTCGGAAGGGAGTCATGAGGCATGGCTCAATACCATAACCGTCATCGCCAAGTAGGACAACATTTGCTTTATTTATTGGTTGTGATCTAGTCTGCTAATTTCTTCATATTCTGGAATCATGCACTGATCCAGGCCAACTGACATCAGTATTTGTGAACATCTCTCTGGCATCACAAGAGGCTTGCGGTTGATATGCTCATCTCTATGGCGATTTGGTTTCAGGATTCCTATATGTGTACAATCAATTACACCAATTGCTGTCGGAAATTTATACATGCTTTGCCATATCCGCTTGGCCTCCATCAGTTCATGGTTGGTAGTTGGAAACTTGATCCATTCGTTCGACTGTGCAACTATGCTGTTCACAACTCTATCCACAGTCCGAGATACCGTTGCTTGACTAACACCAAGTTCCTGACCGATACCTTGTTGATATCCAGGGTCACCGAGATAGCGTAGACATATATTTGTTTTATGAATACATGAAAGTGCTCCTCCTCGAGTCTCCTCATTCTCAACTAAAAATCTGTCCGTAAGCCATTGTACATTTGCTTCGTCGAACCGATATAATTTTTTGAAGTCACGACCAGGTGAAGGTAAGCGAGCGAGGGTTGTACGTTTTAACATCCCTAACATCCACAATTTGCGCCATCATCTTTTGACCACCTTTCGTCACGAAGTTGAGTCTGCTACTGACCACACTCGGAATTTTTGAAGGATATGCTTCTTATGCCAAGTATAAGGTGAATATTATGAATATCCGTTTACTTATGTCACTGCTTTGAAGGATATGACTATACTCAAAAAGCAAAAGCATTTACTTCAAATTATCATTACCATCTGGACGATTTTCTTCAAAATTTTCAAGTACAAGGATATACTTTGTTTTATAAATACGGCTCATTAGAACGATCAGCGAAAATTGTCCTTAGACTTAATAATGCGTATGTTCCTATGGTCGACCATGAAAAGATTTTAGGAGTCCCGATAGATGCAGAATTGAGCTTCAAGCAACATGTTTCAAATTTATCTAGATTAACATACATGCGTCTAATCGACATATTTTTAACTTCAATGCTCGGAAAAAACTATCTGAAACTTCGGTGATGTTGTTAAATAATCCAATTTTTGTTTACTTTCCCTGTTTTGATTGCGTGACCAGATCTAGAATAAAAAAAATCAAAATAATTGTTATAGGTTTATTTATTGTCTGCGAAAGTTTAGCCACGTGCCTGAAAAGATCAATGAGTTAAGATTGTTAAAGGTTGTCTAGCTTTTTTTTCATATAATTTGCTCCTCTTAGTCGAAATAATCAGGTACTTATAGTCTAAACAAGCTTGTACACCGTGGTGATGTTAGCACCAGAAATCTAAGGGATAACTCGAACTTCCACATACCTGGTTATAAAACGAACATATCCATCGTAGCTTCACCTACAATGCCGTGAAACGCCGTATAATTTTACTCATAAAAGCAATCAAATAAGAACCATCTTCTGGGATCGGCTAGCCAAACTAGTTAATAATGTTCGATTTTATCACAATTCTGGATATCACATTACAGTCAGGTGTTATTCCACCTATGGCGTAGTGGTTTCTTTTTTTTTGTAGAACATATTATGTTATTTTTTCTTCTGTTAGTCGTCGTACATAGTACATGCTACACGCTGTAAGGTTAAGTTGTAGAGTAGCCTGCTGGGAAATTTTTGCCCTGCAGTGTAGTTGAGTCATGAAAGAATCATTATCATTATTTTGTTGCAGACTCAAATCGTCAGTTATGTCTAAGGCCTGTTCACGTATCTTTGTATGTTTGTTCACTGCCGCTGCGGACTCATAACGTGCAAAAATATTTAGCACTTTAAATGACATTTGTTAAGTAACTAACCTTAGAGATAATATGATCAATTGCCATTGCAGTAAGATATCAAACGATACAATATATTATTTTCTCCAAAATGATTGAAACTAACCAACAAATTTTTCGAAAAAACATACGAAAACAAAGAGTAAATTGCGGCGCGCATCGGAGATTTTGACACCGCAAATGAAGATTTTTGTTCGACTTCAATCCTTTTCAAGGAAGGCAAACTGACACAATCGGAAATTTCTCACTGTAAAATTGTCGGTTACAATACTTGCACAGCATAAAAGAACATATAATTTTAATATAACTTTAGCAAGCCTAGAAAGAAAAATATGCTTGATATGGAACAAGTACATACCTAGACCTTACATTTAAGCGGTGGTGCCCAAGTGCCACAGGAGAAGGGACCAATCTACAGGGCAGCGGCAAACTGATTTCTGATTTTGATGTATTAAGTCAGTTCAAGCAGTAGTTTTTGTCATATTTTGGCCTTGGTCTGTTGCCAGCACTCGCTAACGAATCGCCTATATTTTATGGGTCCCTTTCCAGAATATTTGCCACGCACTAGGTCACTATCATTTTGTTGCTTCAACATGACCTGTTTGTTAGTATGTTAGTACATGTAGCACAAATCTTGTAACTGAAATTTGAATCAGTTAACCTTAACCCAGTTGGGCAAAAATTATACAAAACTTTGGTTTGGATGACAATACAAAATGAATTAACTGGCGCCATTTTGAATTCAATATTGCGGATGCTACAGTATGGCGATTCATCATTTCCATAGTAACTCCTATGAAATGGGCAATAAATGTAAGGGCTTGAGGAAAGAAACGCAGTGATCAAAGTGATGACATTCTACATCCAATATGGTGGCCGCCGCAAAATGGCGATTTACATATTTCGTAGTCACCCCAACGACATGGGTATCAAATTAAACCGCTTAATAAGAGAAACATAATAACCATTAGTGACATAATTCTAAAACCCATATGTTGGCCACCGCAAAATGACATGATGATTTTGACAGTCACCCCTACGATATGAGAGAAACACAATAATCAAAGCGATGCCGTTCCAAATCCAATGTGACAACCGCCCAAAGATGGTGTTTATAATTATCATTCTGACCCCTATTATATAGGTACCAAATTAAAGGGCTTTGTGGATTGTGAAGTAATTTTTATAATTAATATGCGGAATATATTTTTGTCTTGGAATTAATATCAATAACTCGAAAACTATTCGAAAAAAGTGGTATAAACCTTACATCGAAAAAAAAAAGTTCTCAAGGAAAGCTGTTTAATGATAAAGAAATATACAGCCCAAAATCGATAATTATTATTTTTTTTAACTAATTTTATCTAAATACATTGAAAAATGTTATGTGATATCAAACTTCTTGTTTTTAGAAGCTCTATCCAAATGTGCAATAAAATATAGGGTATTCTATTCAGGAAATTACATGTTTGCTATGGCTTGAAGTTATGGAACATCCTATACGTATTCAAATAATTTTAAAATATGCACTAGTAACATATCAAGGTAACCACGAAAACAGATTTTTGATATATTTTCTAGTTTGCTCATAAGACTACTTTGCATTTTTGTTGGGACACCATGAATATGCAAAAAATAATAACAAGAAAAAAATTATGATTTAGGTATCATTTAAACCTGGCATACATTTTGGCACACCCTTTAGAACATGCATTACGAGGTATACAACTACAGTAGTTACTCACGTTACGTTTATTATAGGTTTTATGTAGATGGATACTTAGCGTCAAGAAGAATTACCGACCTGTTAAATACCACAACTGGAGACACGCACTAAATGTGGCCCAGACTATGTTTGCCATGTTCAAAACGGGGAAAATGGAACGGTAAGTTCACAGATTTGGTGAACTGGCTCATACAGTTCATACAATTCAACTTCTTGGTAGCAGTTGCTGTGTTTACTAATAGAGAACGTTTTGTTTTGTTTATAGTATTTTGCTTATTTATCAACTAGTGTTGTAATCTGAGTAGACATTGAAGACAAATCAATAATCGCTGCGATACCTACAGATAGTAATTCGGGCAATTAAGAAAAAGCCAACCAACAAGCAGAACATTTTTTTATCATTTGCATCATTTGTAGGTTTATGAGCGACTTGGAAATCCTCGGGCTCCTGGTAGCTTGCCTCTGCCATGACTTGGACCATCGAGGTACCAACAATGCTTTCCAGACAAAGACCGACTCCCCACTTGCAGTACTTTACTCCACCAGTACCATGGAACATCATCACTTTGACCAATGCGTCATGATACTAAACACGGACACCAACAATATTTTTCAAGTAGGTGGGTTAGATATTTACATGCACAAAGGATGTTTACTTTCTAAGCACAAATGGTAATAATCAGTTCATTATACGGTCTTCGAGCACTGGTACGCCAGTCTCTATTAATCCAGATATGTATGTCTAATGTGCTAAGTATGGTACAAGTCAAGTCCTAAAAAATCGAGTGATCTCACACCTATTAATGTTGCATATGCACTGTTAATGGATCTGGATTGCGAGAAATAGTACATCTGAAGGATTCTTTGTCTTCTGCAGAAAGGAAAGATTTGACCTGAGATTGTGAAGCATGAGATCAAATAACTGACCGTAATAAAAAAACCTGCAAGTAAAAAACTTATGGTCCATCGGATTGTGTAATAGACAACCGGTGTGTTGCGATAATAGTTTTGGATGGGCTTTTCACGTTCTTGGAGAGCGTTTAGCGTATCTGGTACATACTATACATTCCCAAAAGGAGTCAGATAACCTCATGTTCGCTTGTCGCTTTACGGTCTGAACGTTTCTTGGGAGCGGCAACGGCTACCCCAGGCGATCCTGGGCTTAATGGGTTTATAGGAGAGTTCAGGATGTTACTGCAACGCACTGGATTGTTAATGTTAATGGAGAAAAGAAAAAATAAACGAACTCTCGCCTGGAAAACAGATAAACAAAATAAATTGTCGCTAATCTTCATTCTATTTACCTGAAAAATGCCGCCGTAGGGGCCGAAACGTTCTACAGTAAACAGGAAATAAAACGTGGTTTGATTTAGCGACCAGGTAATAAAGTCCGACTAACATGAAAACATCCTCAAGACTAAGTGAAATACATTTTTGATTATCAAGAACAGTTTGAGAACATGCCTCTTAAAGCATGCCGCATCATCTAGTTGACTGATGGACTTTCTTTAACAGAAGGAAATGCGGATAAAAAAATTGGTAGATGAACAAAATGCCTTGCACAAAAGATCCACTTTTATCTTATACTATTGTTCAAGAAAATTTTTTAGGCCTATCCCGGTATAGCCCTATATTTGATGAACTTATTGCATCGTTGTTTTGTTTGTCTGTAGTTTGGCTACAGTTTTCGTGTGGTAACTTGGTATTTCCGTTATGCATTTGCAGCTGCCTCACAAGGAGGCCTTGGGGTTGGCGATTTGGCACAACTTTTTGATTGATATTTGGATACCATATCGTTCTGATGCTTGGATGTTGAGTTATAAGCAACTCAAAGTACAAAAACGCTCAATTTTGGAAGTTAGTGAGCTTATATCATGTGGTCATAAAGAACTCAGAAGATACTTCAAAGTGAGGTATTACTCGAGCACTCATTCTACTTGAAAAAATATTTCAAAATAGCTCCAGCCATTTCATGATCCAGAGTTTTAGCCTTCTAACTTAACCCATTCGAAAAAAAGTAGGTGCACTGTATATAAACTTGTGTTGCAATTATTAAATCACTTTTTCGAGATTTTATGAATAGTGCGCCTTAATATTTTGATATTGTAATTTACAAAAAAGGTGAGCCAAACCGCCGCCTCCAACGCCAAGTCGTCTCTTTTTCAGTATAAAGAATTATCCTTTAAGATGTACAAATTGTATTTATTATAAGCATGCAGCTCATTTATGACATGCACTTTGAATTTCCAGGCATTATCTCCTGACGACTATAGAAAAGTGATGAAAATGGTGGAAAATGCAATACTTTCAACCGACTTAGCAATGTATTTTAAGAAAAAGAATAAATTTCTGGAGCTTATTGACAATGGAGAGTTTGACTGGCAGAGTGAAGACAAGAAAGAATGTAAGTAAGCGCTGATTTCTGGAAGAGCCTTGACAGGGTGCCTGTGTTTGACCAAAAGAGAGAATCAGGATGGGGGGGCGAGTGTTGGTACGGTGCGATTAAACCTCAGCCAGAGCAAATTATATTATGATTATGTATTACCCTCCAAAAATTGTTGAAGCGCGGGGGTAGCAAATCTTTTCAGGGCGACCAAAAATGGTACAGAAAAGAGTGCTAAACATACAAATTCTATGGGGTAGCCAATCAGGTAAAAGGGGAAAAATATGTCCAAAGCAAGAAAATAGATTTTCAGTGGTTGGCTAAAGTTCTTTATAATTAGTCTGACTACCTTCTATGTGGACTAGATGTTGATGATTATTCTTAAACCACTCCCACAACGGAAAAACTGGTGCCGATATTCGTTCTAAAATAACTACCGTTTTCACTTCACCTACAACTTTACAATATTTTGTTTTCACTTTTGGATCATTTCAGTGTTGTCTGGCATGATGATGACTGCATGTGACGTCAGCGCAATAGCCAAGCCATGGGAGGTACAGCACAAAATAGCGAAGCTGGTAGCCGATGAATTTTTTGAGCAAGGAGATATGGAGAAGATACAATTGAAAGAGCAACCAATCGTTAGTATTTAGTATTTAGCTAAATTATTTATTATTAAGCCTTCAATTTTAAATTCAAATTCATATCACAGACATACGAAAGCAATAAAAATCGCTTGACATCTGTGGTCAGATCATCATTCTTACTAGTGCAGGCGCCTTGTGTACTGGGAAGAATGTTCACTTACTATTAGAATGTAGGTATGAACATATTTTTTCCTAAAATTGTACCAAGATTCAAGAAGCCGCTAAGTTTATCAATCAAGATTGCAAGGTGGCACTAATATTTCGCCAGGGGTACAAATTGGTTTTCCGATCACCAACTCAGAGCTTTCCCAATACAAATAGTGCCTGGGCTCTTTGTATGGACCATATGTTTTTCTGGTCTCATTGGAATCGAATCCTTATATAATCCCGGATCCCTATGTTTAGCCCCTCACCCCTTTGCAGATGTTTATTTGATTATTGTTGCAGACAGTAAAACAAGCAATCTCAGTAGACGCTGCCTAAATACTATGTATATATGTCAAGCTTTTTTGACGATATGTGCTTTTTAGTTCATGTGTCTCAAAGATTTTAAAAGAAATGGACTTGAAAAGGTTCTGGCGCTCGCCACAGCTCATCAAAATATTGTGACGACTGATCTAAGGTGTGCAGACTCTTATGATACAGTCGAACGCTCGTGTCGGGATATCAAACGTGAAAATCAATATGGCAGTGGGCCATTCGTGTCGACTGACCAATCAAAAAAAAAAGTGGACGACAAGGTGTTACAAAATACTACATGTATTCCCTTTCCTACATCCTGTATAGTAATTTGTAACTAATTCACTATTTGTCTCTTGTTTCCATGGATGATCTTTTATTTTCATACCCTTCTACGGTAGTAGAAACTACTCATAGTCCGCTTGAATTTTATGTCAGGAAGAGGCTTGTGAAAAGTGGAATCCATGTTAACACATATGCAGGGTCTTCCATTTAATTTATTTGGGAAAATGTACATTTTGTTTTTAACCTATACTGGTTTGAACATTAAAACAATCATAAATAGAGGAATTGGGTTAAAAATTGAGTATAATAATATAATGTTATAATAATATTCGCCAGTACACCTGTCAAGACAGCAGATATGCAGGCAGTGAAACTTCGATGTTTTTTAGATAAAATAGATCATATCTAATCCAAAAATCTTTTAGAAAGTGGTATCCAGTAAAAAATCTACTCCGATGTATGGGTAAAAATTAGGACACTGTATAATAATGAATATTTTAGTAATGTGCCCCAGATACCATATATAATAATCCGTAAATAGTTTTCTTTGGAAAGTTTTTGTTTAGGAGCAATATTCCGTCCTCGCACGGATGCCGAAATGTCCTACTTTTTTTACCGATTTTAATTCACATTATAGCGCACGTGCTCACTGAAAATTATTTTTTTTTTTGTCATAATAATTCCTTTATATTTAATTTTATTTACAATAGTTATGGTTTTACAATCGATATGTTTATTAGAATTCAAGATTTTTTTACCTATCGATTTATCTTTATTTATGGACAGCAAGTGATAAGATGGTCGGGTTTTCCTATTAAGTTTTTGTGGTGGCTGCGTCTATTGTTTGGTGATAAAGAAGCATTGATCTTTCGTATATTTACGGTGTAAGTTAAATGTTAAATTTCGTGTGGCTTATTGAGAAGCCTTTTTGTGATTGCTCAAAATGTCTAGAGTGCGTAGAATTCGTCGCGTGTCCCAGCAAAGTGAGGATTATCGGTTTTGTACATTAATTTGACAATGACACCTGAGGCGGCGGTATTGTGATAAAAGTATACGCTACTATCACCATTGCGTTGTCAGTTGTCATGACACTGAAAACTTGTTACACTCACAACAGACCCAAAGACTATGGAAATTTAAAGAAAACTCGTAAACATATAATGCGTTATTTTCATCCTTAAAGGGCTAAGATATTATATTATATCTATGACAAAAATATAAGTTCCCTACTGCGAAAATAGTGCGTGAACATTTATAAAGGTATCCATTTTTTCACTCATATTCTCAATAGTAATTTTGGGAATTATCGAGTATCAATATTCACAATAATATTTGATTGTCGCATCTGCTATACCGGTAAATGGTACGACAAAAAAATGGGGAAGATAGACGAAAGGCAGATCTACAACGTATCAAAAAATGACACTAGTAAAAGTTTCACTGTTCTTGAGATATTTTTTTTTTCGTCTTTTTCGAAAAATTTCCTCGTTTGATCTACCTTTTGTTGTTGATTAAGCAGGTAATTTATCGTAGTACTTTGCAGTAGCAGTCTAGAACATTTTTATTTCATTGCTGAATACCAAAGTTGAGTAAAACAGTTTTCTAAAATAAAAATTACGAAGAAGAAATAAGATTGTCAAGCTTACCTACTTGTATTTATCGAAAATGATATTTCATTTGACAGAAACCTTTACTAGGGTAATTTTTTGGTATGTTGTAGATCTTCCCTTGGCCTATCGTCCCTATTTTTTTGTCGTACTATTTACCGGACACCCTGTATAAACCTACTATATTCTTTTTAAAACTATGAACTGAAAACAGTAAAGCTAATGATCAGTGCCGTATACGTATTTACTGATGTATCTACTGGATTATTTGCAGGCATAAATAAGAAATCTTGATAGTGTAATCTAATAGTATACATTAATAATAATGATTTTTATTAAATAAGTTAATAGAATGACAAGATATATCACAGCTAAAAAAGGTAGACAACTAGGAGGACTCTGAAATAAATGTTATGGTTATAATAATGTTATGGATTATGAACTAGAAATAAATTAATTTATTTAGTGATTTAGTGACTAAGTACACTATGGTCAAACACTTCCTGCTTTCTAGGCGATGATGGACCGAGAACGTAAAGATGAGTTACCACAGATGCAAGTCGGGTTCATAGATGTGATTTGTCTGCCTCTGTATAGGGTTTTGTCAGATACATTTCCCTGGATGCGACCGCTGTACCTTGGCACTTTGGAGAACAGACAACACTGGCAGGATTTAGCAGAGAAAGTAGAGATGGGATTGACTTGGATAGACCACGATACCATCGATAAGCCAGTAGAAGCCTTCCGAGGTAAACATTTATGCACTTATGTGGCGACTTCAGTCAATGTCCGAAATAGCTTAAGGGTTAGACTCACTGATTCCGCCTTTTGATCAAAATAAAGAGTTTTCGACGTACCTGGTTTTAGTAATTCAGCCAGAGCGAACGCTATGGATCAGAAAGACGACCCCATGTTCGTGTTAAGCCGCGTACAGACCGAAAATGCAACTCTGAGCAAACGAATGCAAGCACATGTGACGTTGGCGTTTGTTGTTGGAAGGTATTGGAATGCGCTCGTGTACACCTAATTTAGTTTCGAGTTGGACCTCGTTGTATTAAGTTCGGTGCTAATATCGATCGTCGAGTCTCCTGTTATCGAATGCAGACAAACGGCTAAATACTAGAAGCGCAAAAAGTCCTATCCAGACCAAATCAAAGCTCTCTTTGATGAACCGATTGAGGAGCGAACGCAATCGAACGCCAACGCCTTGGAAACCATCGGCTTATGTTAGCTCGCGCCGTACACACCGATTCGAACACCTCCAAATCTGTAACCACATGTGCCTTGACTTGCGTTGGAATCTCGGTCTGTACGCGGATTCAGACAAAGGACACACGAACGTTAAACTCATGTGCTTAAAAAAAAACGCCAGTCGTAATGCGCGAACTTTCGAAAATTCAACGCGCGTTTTGCATGACAGGCATCACCCGATAAAACGCGCAGCAAACGCACGTCGTTGCTGTGTTCTGTTCCATTTTCAGCAATAGTTACCTTCAGTTGCATCTAGCTCAGTTGCTGAATATCCCTCCCTTCCTCACTATCGACTGAATCTGCTGACAAATAGCACAGCTCAAAATAACATATTTCACATACGTGACTTCTGTCAATCCGAAGGTTTTCCAAAATTTTCGAAGCGGTCCGTGCAGATAACATCTAGGTCAATACCAATTTTATCACCTGATAGAGACTTTGTTTTTCAACAAGATGGGGCGTCATGCGAAGCGATAACTCATAATAGCTTGTTGCAACTGGATGTAAGAGTGTAATGCTAAACAAACGTTTTTTTGCTGCGCACTAATCTGACACTCATGTGTCTCGGCACTTAGCAATTACTCCAAACAAATCGCAGTTGCCGCAAAAATCAAACTTTTGATAGTTGCATATTTTCAGTTTATCATTCTGTGGAGCATACATACTGGGAGAGTGCAAGGGTATGCTTTTGTAGCATTTTAAATGGTACGTTTTACATTTATACAAACTTTGACAAGATAATACATCGGTGACTAAGTACCAATTTTGGTCAGGGGAAGCATGATGAAAGTGGAAAATACAAAATAATCGGGTTTTAACGAAAACCAAAGTATTCCCACGACTCACTGCGCGTCGGACCTCGACCACGAGATGTTTTATCTGTATGAAGCAGCTGTATTCTTTCGAACTGATCAACTGATTGAACTGATGACAGCGATGATGTTAACATAATTCGAAGCCGGTGAGAAAAGTAGTCGTGTTTCAATATTACTGCTGTTGATGTACCCTGCAAGCCTAAAAGGTGGAAAAAACATGTAAACAGGATTTCAAAATCATCAAACGGGGTTAATTATGAACCTATTATCAAAATATGCTAACTTTCCAAGAAAACGGAGTAAGTACACACATCATCAAAATGTCTAGAGGTACGTTATCTACATTCTGTTTGTGAACAAAAAATCTTTATATATTTAGCAAGCAAAAAACCGTTGAGATAAAAATGTGTTTGGATTTTTATAGAAATAAGTCAGTTTAACGGTAGTGTTTGAACAAAAAGTATTAAAATAAAATTTTATACTGTAACTTTTGAAATGCCGCGAGCTGAAATTTCTGGTTTTGATAGAACACGAATAGTAGCCCTCTTCCAAGCTGGATTTTCAAATCACCGAATAGCACTGGATTTGGGTATCCCAAGAAGTTCGGTAATTCGAACAATTCAAAGATTCCAAGAAACTGGCTCAGTTGAAAATCGGCCACGCAGTGGGCGTCCTCGAGTAACAGATGATAGGGAGAATCGTTACATTGCTCTATTTGCCCGAAGCAATAGATTTTCAACAAGTACAGCTATCAGATCGCATATTCAACATACCTTTCGAAGAGTTATTTCCACGTCTACAATCAGAAGAAGATTGCGAATGGCATATTTGCGCCCCAGAAGACCTTTAAGGGTTCCACGTCTTACTCGTAGACAAATTGCTGCTCATCTCCAGTGGGCTAGAGAACATCAGGAGTCGCTTTTACCACAGTGGCGACATGTGGTATTTACAGATGAGGTTTGGTTGGGACTGGTGAGTGATGACCGCAGAATAAAGGTTTGGAGAGAACCTGGACATCAACAGCGACTAATTTTGGCCCGAGAAGTTGTCCCATATGAGGGCGGATCAATAATGTTTTGGGGAGGCATAATGTTTAACCATCGGAGTCCTTTAATTCAGATCCAGGGGACAATAACAAGAAAATGTCATACAACCCATTATTCAACCTTTGCGAAATGAATTCGGTAACAACTTCATTTTTATGGATGATGATGCAAGGCCACATAGAGCGAGAAGGGTCCAGCGGGCTCTAGAAAGGGGCCAAATAGTGAGATTGCCGTGGCCTGCGAACAGCCCAGACATGAACCCCATTGAAAACATTCGGGACACTATAGCTCAAGCCGTACGGAACAGAATAGATCTACCTACACTAAATGAGCTGGCTGCAGCAGTAAATGAAGAGTGGAATAATTTACCCCAAGAAAACATTAACCACCGAATAATAGGAATGCCAAGGCGTGTTAACGCACTGCTAAGATCTAGAGGACACCGAACTGGTTATTAATTATGTTTTATTTTTCTTTAGAATAATTATTTTTCTTTAATTTTGATTTTAAAAATAAAAATTTTGGTACCTTACTTGTTCGACTTTCTTTTTCTTTTCATATTAATGAAATTAATTTAAAGTTTTGTTGAATAAATATAGTAAAAATATCTCCAATTTAAGATATATCGAAGATTGAAATTAGAAGGCTATAGTTTCCCAGTACGCCAGGGGGTCCAACACTTTTGATGATGTGTGTATAATAAATCATAATAAAACGTTACTGAAACATAACCCGGCCTTTCAAAAATATTACTTCTGAGCTATTAGTATACAGAGTATAAAATATGTTTGCAATATTATGTTAGGCCCAGTCTGTCCCTAGCGGTCTAAGTGAGTTGACTGTTTTCTCTGGACATCGCCATGTGAGAACTTATGTAGTTACTACGCTGCAGTTTTCGTCGAACTGCTTAGCGTATTCAAAATTTATTTCAAAAGAACATATTTCCTGTGATGTCCTTTGAAGCCCTGTATCTCCAAAATGAAGCGGTGTTTCGTATGCCGTGGCCAAATAGTCTTATCATAGTCCAAATAGTCACCTATTGAATGTTTGCCCTATGTTTTCAAAACGTCTGGTATAAATATGTGCTTCCCAAAAGTACATTCCGAATGTTTTCTCCGTTTAACAAGGATTTAAGCTGTGACGTACTCTGATGTAGGTACTCGTACCTACCTAATAATTACTATTTAAGCACACTATTCTATGCTTTTGCTACATATGGTATGACAGCATTGCCTATACAGGGAAACAAGGAAATGTTTTGGAACACGAGTTTTTTTTTGAAAATTGCACCCTGTGTGAGGTAATAGGTATCACATCAATTAGCCAAACAGAACTTAAGCAACACTGTTTTATACATAGATTCAGTTATCTGTAGGACTTCTTTTTTTTTAAACGGAATCGCTTGATACGAACATAAAGTGGAACGTATTTCTTTTACAGATACAGAAGAGACAAAGGAGATAGAATTAATAGTGACGACCTTCAAAACGGTGTCAAATGCACCGCAAGTAGACACAAGGAAGAGGACGAAACACAAAATTTGCTGCATATTGTGACAACTAATCGACGAGTACATAGAATGTGTAACTCTCTCTATCTTTCGTAACTAGATCAAAATCTAATGCTCATTTTTCTGAACTATTATATCTGAATTCATAAGAACTACTTAACCTGTTTTAGGAGTTTGCAGGGATTGGACATAGTAAAACTTGAATTTCTAACAGGCACTTCTCTCTTGATAATAAACTGAATTGTTTAATCTCCCACGTAGGGCCCTAGGAGCTAATCAGCTAGGGGGCAACTAACAGATTTTACGAATAACTTATATTTTCATAAAGTTATATAGGTACACATGACACTTTTCGCGTGTGATTTATCAGTCCGAAATTTCCTAGCCGCAATGTCCTGAGAGCCCCGCCTTAAACAATGAGTTGAAAAGTATGACAACCCCCAGCGAAAAAAAAGTTAATCCAATTTAGGCTCATCCCATACGCAAAACCATTTGGTTAATTTTAGTGCGTACTAAGAGGCTAAAAAATATACTCAATGGTTCCTTGTCTATGTGTAGGTATAGCATGTCTTGGATAGCCAAATGATTGGATTAAATCTACATGCGTTCCATCTCTGTGCATGTGGTCTACTGAAAAACTGAGTAAGTAGTACAAGATGTGACTGCTGACACCTAGTGCGACAACGCTGATATATCTAACCCACACGTGAAAGATGTAGAAAGGTCCCTACACCTTCTCCATGAAAGGAAAGATCCATCATAAACAACCCGTCAATCGGAGAGCATACTAAGCGTGTTCCGTTTAATATGACGCCACTTAGCATGGCGAACACTTAGTGTTCGCTCTTATTCTAAGGTTGTCCGTGATGGTGGACAAGGTATTTCCGTTCTCAGAACAAACTGTCCTTCAGAAACTGGAAAGCATTAGATCACTGTGAGGTTGCTACTTACTCCAATTTTCTATAGCAGAGAGAACGTGGTGCTATTTTTTTGCTCCCGACTGTGCATTAAACAATATATGGGTCAATATACGGTATTTGCTTTTAAGTGTCGACTAAGAAAAGTAGCTTATTTTTCCCATATTTATTATGTCACAAGACTGCATGATACGTGATACGAATTGGACAGGGTCAGATGTTTTCATTTTGATAGCTTTTATAGCTACCAGGAGAAAGTGTATGTATCAAAAATAAGAAAATTAATAAATTCAATCGATTTGATCAAAAACAACAAGTCTCCAGTTCTATTGGTCTTAAATCAAGGGTATCGTATAGGTTAAGAGCTCACAGATCCTCGAAGTAACGGTTGTGTTTCGACGTTGGAATTTTTTTGATAAAAATGCCGCGGCCGTTGCTTTCATTGTTTATACAGGGGGTAAGACGATTTATTGTACCGAAATTACAAAACAGAGAAGAAGTACAATAAACAATTGACACGAAAACTGTCAGATAAGTTTCGCCAGCATAGTGACCAGAACGTACATGACCTAGAAAAACATTAATATACATTAAATATTATTGTATAAGATTCATGACTGTTGTATTCAAGAACTGCAGTTTTCGCATATGTGCAGAAATGTACGTTTGAAATTCATAAAGGTATACTTACCAGGATAAACACTGGAACATCTGGCAAAAGGGTATATACCGACACTACGTTAGCCACAGACGCGTTCCTGGTTTCAGTAAACCAAATCGCGCTAGTTTCAAACTAACATTCCTTAATTTGCTGCGGATTAATCAAGGACAAATCGGGAAATTGTCACAGTCCCACGAAAACATGCAATTTGAATTGCAGCAGGTGAGGGTGACGAATGTTCACAACCATTGAAACGTGTCTTTTATGCCTTTATAAATCATGTTGGTATCTCTTTTTAGGCAAATATGTTACAAAATGTGTATGTAGCAATATACAGGGTATTCGTATTGTTATACTAGTTACATATACCTACAGAGATTTGTTGATATTTGTTGTGAAAGTCGGGAATGTGGCACTCCAAAGGAGTATACATTTTCAAGCAAATTGTGCCTAAATATTAATGATCATTTTAATTTTATCATATGTTCCAAATAAAGCATGATGTTTTACTCTATGAATTATTTCCACAATTTGTCTGTTTGCTTAAGATTTTTTTGACAGAACATTGAGATTTCAAAAACTGTATATTCACCCATATTTTACTGACAATCACTGATCGTTATTCGATCTTATTTCACATGATTCAAATAAAATCCTCGAATAAACACAGGTGGTTGAAGCTTTTGGCTATGTATATATTTGACCTATTTTGCTAAAGTATGATGTGAAAAATAATAATCTAAACCAAAAGCACAAATTTTAAAACAGCTTCTTTAGCTACCTACTGCTTTTTATCGTGCATTGAAAGCGCCAAATATTTCCAAATGTGCAGAAACAAAAATGGGTTGTTCTTATGAGTGAACGAGTAATATTTCACCTGTAACTTCATACTCTTAGAGATTATATGATTTTATACTAAAATCGGTGATGACGCTTGGTTAAGTATTAAAAAGACATTTTTGTAATTATATGATTTGTAAAATCAAAGTGTATATAGAATATATTGATAAATAAATAATCATAAGGAAAAATGCGTTTTCTTGTCTTACATTTTACCAAATTGTTAAGATATTCCAACAACTAACTCTGTAGGCTGAGTTTTACCGTGAAACCAAGTACAATAATTCTCAGTGGTCATACGAAGGAGATCTTCACTGATAGTATGATGATAGCATGATGATGGAGATAGCAGGTTAAACTGCTTAAGGGACACAAGTATTCATTAGAAGCCAATCCTGTTGCCAAGAATAGTGAGGCTCTCGTTAATCTAGTGGGCGTTGAACATGGAGTAGAGCGTCTGCAAAATGCCAAAAAATTCAACATAACCTGCCGCAATCTTTAAGGGCATTTCACACACGTTTTGACATGTTTTGTAGGTTTATTACTTCGTGGTTTATTAATGTTTCCGCTTGCAACACGTCCGAACTGTCAAAATTGGAGTTGTTTACAGACATGATGACAGCAACAGAGAGAGATGCAACTAACTTACTGCATCGTCGACATTTTTGGCTTCATCCACACTTGATAAGTTTAGACTCCCTATCTCTTGTCTTCGTGGATGATATCTTATGTACATATATCGAACAAGTTTTTTAAACACAGTGTTTCAAATTGCAATCACTGGGATCTTGGAAGCAGTACGAGATACGAAGTTGAATGGGAACAAAGTTGTGCATTTAGGTAACTAAGAAAATGGCATTTAGAAAGTTTCACAGTTCAGAATATTTCTGAATATAAAAAACTAATATATAACATAAATAATAAAGTACAGATGAAAAGATTTATAAACAATTTTATTATGAATATATTATTTTATATCTACATCCATTTTGGAATATCAATTGCATCTTTTAATAAACACTGATCCGAGTCAACATTTCCGTCACATACATGCTTTGCTATATTTAGAAAATACATATATTTATATTTGAAGAACACAAGATTTACAATTCTATCAATACCTACTTTACAAAACTATTAAAGAATGAAACAGTCAACATAAATAGGAAGACTTTTTTCAAAATAACAGCAAATGAAAGGATACTGATGTGAGGGTTACACAGCTAAGCATATTATAATGGATTTTCTAAAGAAAAAGTAAGAGTAGGAATTATAAAAAATTATCTGCTTTTTTACGATGCCTTATCAATTTGAGATTATATATTTCTATAATGTTTTAAACATAATAGATTCACTATATCCAATGTACCCAAATGATGCATGAATATTTGATACATATATCCATTCTGATCATCATTATGCAGAAAGCAGAACTTGAGGATTGTTAAAAACATGTAAGTAAATATAAATTAAAGTTATTACATATGCCTATCATTCATAGGGATGCAAACAATAGGTCAATGTCCTTTTATACGAAGTCTTACCTTACATAAATGTTTTTGAAGTAACCGCCATCTATTTGAAATATGTTGTAGCATCAATAGGAAGAAATAGTTCAAAACATCAAAAATAGATAACTAGTAGTCGGTAAAGTTGTAGTAATTAAATGGTGTGTATTATTTAGCTGGATTATGAAACCAGCCAGCTCTTTCTTGATTGGTTAGTCCCAGGAAACAAGGGACATATCTTCGACTGAAGTACAAATGATAGGATTTACAGAACTATAGATCACTACTGACATTGACAGTTTGATATCAAAAAGCGAGATACTGCTTTTGGTTAAGATCTTTATATATAAAGAATAGTTGTTAATCAGAAATGTCAGTTTGGGCTTCAAAGCCCACCTTGCGAGTTCCGCCTATGCTCATTTCTTTAACAGATTAAAAAAAAACAACAATGTTTCTATGCATTCATGTTTACTGGGAGAGGTTTTCATACAAGATGTATTGATATATCTATATTTACCTTTATGATGTTTGCATCCCTAATCATTCTACATAATTATAAATAAAAAACGTTTTGTTTTCTCTAGTACAAATGGATATGAAAAGGTCCCAATAGTACCCATACATATGCTAGAGGTTTAGTCTAAGAGTTCGTTAAGTGTTATTAAATATTACAAACCCTATTTTACAGAGTAACCGAAACAAAACTCCACTGGCAGATGCACAGTCGCGTTTATATGACGGTCTAGAGGAATACTAGGGTATACATAATATAACAGTTTTTAAACGCAAAATAGTGATGAGCGATCCAATGACGGGTATGTTTCCGTAATTTTTGATTCCTGATAAAATGCATGTTTGGAGAGAATTCAGCATTTGGATAGAATGTCGACAATAAAGACAACCAAAGATAATTTCTACTTATTCAAATATGGATAGTCATCTACAAATAGTATCGACAATAAAATGGAATAGAAAAATATGCTATGATTTGCTTGTGGAATAACGCTTTCGTGGTTTCACTTCAAAAAGTTTAATCTTTTCAAATAAAACATTGGAATACTGAAAGATGTATAGAAAGGACGAGTTTGATGGACTAACATTATGAAACATGAAAAATCATCAGCAAACAGTAAGTAGATACACTTTTATCAATATTTAAGACGCCATGCTAAATTGTTCTCAACACCTGTGAGGCACTCAAAATTAAATTAAAAATACTGATAAGTAGATAGATAACAATACGTTATATTGTGACACCCAGATAACATTTTTTCTATTTTAATATATAGGATGTTACTAAATAACAGGCCGTTATTAGAAGGACCCTTTCCTGAACAAAGTTCCAAGTGTATACGTGGCAGGTGCTGATTAAATGTTTCAATGGCAACAAGCCCCAGAAATGCTTTCTATTTGAGATACAACAAAGCAATCGTGTTTTACCACTGTGGGTACGCCTGCCTGTACCGTTTTATGAAGACTAACTCTTTGATATCCCAAGCTACTTTCATAAGAACACTGTCAATTTCTGATAGAAATAATCCATGACAACATTTTTTTAGAAGACCTTCAAATTTTGGGGTGGTTAGGGGCTTAATACGGCCGATTTTCATCTATTGACAGTACGTACTTTTGCGAATTATTATTCATGATCGCAATTTTCCTCCTTTCATCTATCCCTGCTTTGAGACTCTGGGGTTGTTCGCACCCATATTTTTATGTAATTTTAGTATCTTTTGCGATATAAATTATTCAATATCGCGATTTCCTCACAAGGGTTAAGCCACCTATATTTGACACCCTGTATCTTAAAAGGAAGCATTTGCTCTCATTGCAACATTTGATCAGCACAACTGGACTATTCATTCATTAAAATTGGCTAGTGGTCAAATTCCATATGCCATGGTATTTAAGGAGAAAAGTTAATTGAAAGATGTGTCCTCAAAAGTCTGGTTTCCAAGGTATAGGGTGACAAAGTTTAAAAAGCTTGTTTTTTATTATCTCAAAGATCCTTATGCCCGTTTTATTCATTCTTGACAGTATTATTCATTGCAATAAGAACTAAGTGAGCACTAACTAGAAGATAAAAGACACAAAATATACCCTGATGAATTTTGGTTTGAATTAAGCAGATAAAGAGGTCATGATATAGAACCACTTATAACATTACACATAAAAACATTCTGAAAATCAATTCAATTTGATGTAGAATATTTATCTCAAAGTCATTTTTAAAATGTAAGGAACTGAAAGTAACAACAATTTAAGAAAATATTTAAAAAAATCCTGCAACTGATCACCTAAGTACCGCTTTCTATGCAGGTTTCTGCTGTCATATTTTAATAATCTTTCGACACATAATGAAGTTGTTTCTATTTTTTCCTAGAACACGAAAGTAAGATGTGAAGTAATAATAAAACATTTATTTTACAAAGTTAGTGGCGTTTATTTCTTTTTGTGAATATTATTCGTGAGACTACTCTCCGAGACACCACTGCAATCCATAATTATCTTCTAGTTAGTGCTAATGTAGCGTCTTAATGCAATGAACAACATCGCTAGAATTCATCAAAAATGACAAAAGGATCTTTGAGATGTTCATAACAACAAACATCTTTATAGAGCTTTGACACACTGCATCTTGGACGTTCTAGTTTATGTAAACTTTCTAATTTATTTTAGTTCAAGATTGCGCACATGTAATTAGCCCCAATCATTAAGTAATTGTAATTAAGTGCTCTAATGAGGCGAATGCATATAATATATGCAGGAGTTGAATTGCCAATAAGCAAAGTCACATAGAGGTCATCCATTTCTTATACTTTTCCGCATTTCCTTTCACCCACTAGTGGGACTGCATCTTCCTTTTCAGTCTGTTATAAGTAGGTTGTTATTGAAAGTGAGGTTGACATTCAAGTTGGAAGCTATCATCTGTTATTATTTTCTTCGCAGGATACCCCATTAGTCTGTTGCATATTTTAAGAGATCCTAGGATATAGTTTGAAAAAGCAAAATATCAAGAGCATGAATCCTCTACCAAACATTATACAAGATCTGACATGTTGCGAATATCACTTCAAATACCTAATTCTGTATCTGCATATTTGAAAAGTCAAGCATTCAACCTTCACATAAAGAATTCCTGTGTAGAGTGAGACAGTGTAAGTCATGCATTAGGGGGACGATCAAGGCAACTGATCTCAAGCACCCGTAAACCTCTGGCATAGGGATCTGTCAGCTTTAAGCCCCGAGGTTCATATATCCGCTCATTCTGCTCTGCTATGAACTTTGACACCTTTTTCAGACACTGGAAAAGCAAATTCATATTAAACAAGGGGTCGATTAGGTTGTCTCTGTACTTCCAATGCAATTCTGTACATGCAGACTTTGAATATGCATCGTGTACAGTATCTTAGTCAACTTTTGTATGCTATGGTATCTTTATTCTTCGCCAATTCTTAGAGACCATATAGTCAAATCAATATCACTGAAAAAAGTATTACTGATTTGGAAAAAAATCTGGTATCTGGTATAGAACACGAAAGTAAGATGTGAAGTAATAATAAAACATTTATTTTACAAAGTTAGTGGCGTTTATTTCTTTTTGTGAATATTATTCGTGAGACTACTCTCCGAGACACCACTGCAATCCATAATTATCTTCTAGTTAGTGCGAATGTAGCGTCTTAATGCAATGAACAACATCGCTAGAATTCATCAAAAATGACAAAAGGATCTTTGAGATGTTCATAACAACAAACATCTTTATAGAGCTTTGACACACTGCATCTTGGACGTTCTAGTTTATGTAAACTTTCTAATTTATTTTAGTTCAAGATTGCGCACATGTAATTAGCCCCAATCATTAAGTAATTGTAATTAAGTGCTCTAATGAGGTGAATGCATATAATATATGCAGGAGTTGAATTGCCAATAAGCAAAGTCACATAGAGGTCATTCATTTCTTATACTTCCACTGCAATTCTGTACATGTAGACTTTGAATATGCATCGTGTACAGTATCTTAGTCAACTTTTGTATGCTATGGTATCTTTATTCTTCGCCAATTCTTAGAGACCATATAGTCAAATCAATATCACTGAAAAAAGTATTACTGATTTGGAAAAAAATCTGGTATCCTTACTTTTTGCCGGCTATGGAAACTCTTAAAGCTGCTGACTTAATAGAATGTATATAATTGAAGAAAAAGCACTATCTGTTTGTTTGTTACATTTTTTTTTTTAAATAATCAAGGACATTGTTTGGACACCTTCGTATTAATTTACCATATCTGTTTATCTACATTCACTATATTATATTGCTCTGGTAGCTGCATTGTGGCATGTCTCCTCAGCTGTTCGGGTAAAAAATTCATCGAGCGAATTTCGCCTGAGATACACACAATAGCCTTATTATTATTAAGATACCCCTCCTTCACCTCCTACAATTCCCTACCACCTATTTTTCTACCTCTCAAGAGAACTTCAAAAATGAACAGGAGACTCGGAAGTGTCAAAAACGAAGTTTCATCAGTCTCTATTTTTTTTCATGTTTGTGCCCTTGGGTGTGCTGCTACTGGACCACTTTCCAAAGATTACTAGCTTTCCTATCATAGTAAACTTGTGTGAAAATTACATGAAAATCTGAGTCGTACTTTCCAAATTTTACATGGGCCAAGGATTAGCATCATCATTTTTCATGATTACAGTATCTTTTCCCAAATGGTGTGGGAAGTACAAAGGGGTATGTTTCAACAGTAGGATGCTATAGAAGTCAAAAAAGCAATATAGAACATCAATGCTGTTTTTGATATAACTTATCAGCAATACAATGAGCATCAGGTTTTATTGCACAATATGACTATACTCAAACGCAGATAATTTCAGTATAGATGAATTTTACTATACCTTGTCATAATGTGTCTCCTTACAAATATAGATCAAGTGAACTGTCAGACATGCTAAGCAGCCCTCACAATATGTGGAACATGTAGCCTTTTCTGCTTCAGCAAAATATGCATTCAGTCTATTGACTGTTGCTTCAAATGCTTGTCTCTCCAACTAGAATAAACATGTACTATGGCTTATTGCTATAATGCTATATTGCTTATGTTGTTTGATAAAACTGAATGTTACATAGAGGTAGAGTTTACTAATAACATCCATTTTAAATCCTATATATCGATGAGGTAGTGCATAAATGTGGTAAGAATAATACTAACAAACAAATGTATTAAGTAAACTTATAATCTTTGTGACAGAAATCAGTATCCCAAAGTTACTAACGCCTACACTGGCTGGTAATGCCTGAAGTATTATAAATGTATTTATCACTTTTACCATACATGTGTATTCAGCGCTTGATCTCCTGATCATTTTCAAAAGAAAATAACATATTTGCACTATACCATCAATATTCTATATACAGTAATGGTCAAAAGTATATAGACAAATGTAAATATTTACCTAAATACCTTTAGAAAACGAATTCATACTTCATTGCTGCATAAACAAATGCATTATTTGTAGAAAAACTACATTCCTTGTTTTTACATTATCTGCAATGAATACAATACAAATCTGAATATAAGCAGTTTTAATGAGGGACAAAAATATGTAGACAAATTCCTTTCAACATTAGTTTAGTACAGTTTCGTGTTAGAAAAGGAATAGTTTGTGGTTATGAACTATTGTGGAATAAGTTGAATGATTTTAGGACCATGCTGCGTGGTCCAGAAATTTCTTTCGACGTGAAAACTAAGATCATTGAGTTATACAAAGATGGTCAACATCAAGTCAACATTGTCCAAAAATTTCAAGCTGAAGTGTAAAGCAGTTTGGGCAATATTGAACAAATATAAACAAAAAGGTTATCTTGGAAGCCTCTAAGAGAAGTGGTCGGCCTAGAAAACTAAATGCTAGATCAGTTAGATTAATACAAGCCGAAATCGAGACAAAAGGATTTGCCAGAGTTTCTACAAAAACTATAAGCAGAAGATTAAATGATTTGAAGTTATTTGCACGTCGCCCGAGTAAGAAGCCGCTAATCTCGAGGAAAAATTGTAAGGACTGATTACAATTTGCACGGTTGCATCTTGATTGGAGCATCTGTGACTGGAAGAGGGCATGTTTCAGTGATGAATCCAAGTTCAATATGTTTGGATCAAATGCTGTTCATTACGTTAGACGTAATAGTGGACAAAGATTGAACCCTAAGTACACTTTACCCACTGTCAAACATGGAGGCTGTTATGGTTTGGGGGTGCTTTTCGGGGTTTGGGATGGGACCTTTACATAGAATAGATGGCATTATGGATAAGTTTGTATACACAGACATACTTAAGCATGTCATGTTACCCCATATGGAAGACAATATGCCCTTAGGATCAATCTTCCAGCAAGATAATGACCCAAAGCACACTTCAAATCTCGCAAAGAAATTCTTTCTAGATGAAAAAATACCAGTTATCAAATGGCCTTCACAGTCTCCCAATATAGACCCCCTTGAAAATCTATGGGAATACTTAGATAAGCAAATCCAATAAAAATTATTCAAACAAGGATGAACTTTTTGCCGCTTTAGAGCAAAAGTGGAGACATATTGATGAATGTTATATTAAGAAACATCTACAATCTATGCTGAGACGATGCCAGGTGGTGATTGATACTAATGGTTATGCTACAAAATACTAACACAAACATGGTTGGTTTTCTATAATTCAATGAACTTTGCTTCTTTTTTCTATAATTGTGTTGCTTTGCCAATATATTTTTGTCCTTCATAGTTCCAGTTTTTTTCAATTATCTTTTTATTGAAGGGAGTCTAATGAATTTATTTATGTATAAGTGAGTATTATGCTATAACAAATTATGTATACAGGTTGGTGTATTAATAAAACAAGTTAAAAAAGAATTACAGCACAGTATTAATTTGTCTATATAATTTTGTCCATTACTGTATGTCAGGGTAGACAAATACTACTGGAGCTGCTTAAATCATGTCCATTTTCCACAATAAAGGGATAATGGTGGAATATTGATAGAATACAATTATGCAAATGAACATTAAGAGAATTTTAGCAAGATACCAATATTGAATTTGTAAATGAATGAGTGTTACTTGAATACCTAAATGGCTGAATATATAATGTAGAACCTTTACTGCTACACAGGTCAAGTGGGGCTTTATTCACAAGACACACAGTGTCCTCCACCTTACATAGTCCAAGATTTGAAAGAAATGAAAGTGAGTATGCGATAAGAAGTATTTAAGATTTACAAAATATGTGTGAAATACAGATTTTTATGTGAGGGTACCCAATGACTAGTTAAATTACAAGACCCCCTCATATCCCTGAAGTTCTTTCTCACGCAAATAATATTAGCTATTCCACAGCTTGAGAAGAAATCTCGGCACCGAAAATTTTCCTCTATTAAATTAGATAACATCCTCAAAATGATTGAAGTATAGTGCCATACATTTCTGTTAATTAGAACATACCTTTATGTAGTTGTGCATGAATGAATCTAGGTCAAGTAATGTTTATTATTAGTTTATTCGTTAAAAACATGATCAATGAGCAATCCTGATATAATGCAATGAGCACTCCTACTTACCCTTCCCTCTAGTTCTTGTGGAAATCTAGTCTGAAACTTAACCAACGTCCCTTCACTGTAGTCCCTTTGTACGAACACTTTCAGGCACTGTGGTTGAGCCATTTGCTCTGTTTCTCCTGTCCTGGCACCATTGTGGTGATTGCTCATTTTAATTTGACCTATTTTGGCGACTTTATATTCACTCCTCCAGTATGTTCACTTTCTTTTACCAAAAATTACAATAAAAACAAACTTCAGGTGATCTTCAGATCATTTTCGCTCCCACAAAACATAATACCCTCCCCCACACCCGTCTCTCTGTCACACTCTGTCACTTATGACACAGAGCAGTTTCTCCCTGTTAGTCATGTCTACTGTCGTATGTCTGTCATGTGATATGGCCACAGAACAAATGGATCGTTTAGACAGTAGACAGTAGACATAGACATAAGACAAAGTGGTATGAGTTCCTCCCATGTCCCATGCACTCATGCACACCACAGATGCGAGGTTAAACTCGTGGAGAAGGGTTGAATCCAAGATAAATCCAAGCATGTGGTTTTTGGTAGAGCTAAACGCTCCCGAACTGCTCCAGAATTAAGTTTCTCGTTGGATACCGCACCTGTTGACTGAAAAGCAGAAAGCAGCCAGGGTTAATTGGTGTCAAAAAACGCTTGATCGTTCCAATTCCGGAAACTCAGAAAATGTGAACTGCATTTTTAGTGGTGATGAATCGTGGATTTACTGTTATGAACCAGAAAATAAACAACAGTCGGCTGTTTGGGTGTTTCAAGGTGAAGAAAAGCCAACAAAATTCATCCGTTCTCGAAGTGTTTCGAAAAAGATGGTCGCGACATTTGGGTCAAAAGCGGGTCATATTGCAAAAATTCCTCTTAATAAGCAAAGAACTGTTACTGCGGATTGGTATACCACCATTTGTTTGCCAAAAGTCATCACCGAGCATCGAAAAATCAACCCCGACAGAAGAATCATCCATTAAGACAATGCAAGCTCGCACACAGCCCAAAGAACAGGGCAGTATTTAACGGAAGAAAACGTGGAATTATTGGACCATCCTCCATATAGTCCCGATCTAAGTCCTAACGATTTCTTTACTTTCCCGAAAATTAAAGACTGCGTTGTCAAAGGTTTCAGTCACCAGAAGAATCAGTTGACGCATTCAAAAATGCCGTTTTGGATCTGCCAGCAAACGAGTGGAATAAGTGCTTCGAGCGCAAGCAGATGTGTATTAATCTTCGTGGAGAATACTTCGAAAAACATTAAAGTCATTTAAAACTACCTACCGTGTTGTTTTATTTCCATATGCAAAACTTAAAAGACATCCCTCGTATAACTAAGTGTGAAATCAACTAAGTAAGTAAATGACCTTAGTGGGTGCCGATCTTAAGAAGCTTTCTCAGCGTAAGATAATAAATAGGTATGTTACCTTACATCTTTTTCTCAAATCACCTGATAAATTCATATACGTCTTAATATCGGTTTCCGTTACTCAGCTTCAACCGCAGCAAACTTTCAGTTGAATGAACTTTACGTTATTGTCGGAATGTCCGCTCGAATTCTGGTCTATCCTAGTGATAATACTAACTAACATCGTGATTATCGAATTTCGTCGTGACCGACTTAGCTAATTAATTAAAGTATTTGACTAGTTAGCTAGTTACGTTTCTCTAATCAATAGCAATAACGGCCAACCTGTTACAGAACCCAGACTGATTTAGTTTTGCTATTGTTTTTGTACTTCTTCGTGTTTTGCAACTCGTTGGAGGTAAATATCAGTCTCTTTGGTTTGAATTTTGCGGCCAAACGGTCCATGATTTTTGCCAGTTAACCCTTTCAATCCGGATTTCTTTTTTTAACATTACTGGTTTGAAATGTTGTATACCTATGTAAAAATAAACTAAAAAGAGGTTATTTGGTGAAATAAATTTTTATTTCAAACAGGTTTTTATAAAAATAATGGGACACTGATGTACCAGCAGGTTTTTTTGGCGGGACATATTTGTCCCAACGGATACGTAATTCAGGTATGGTATGGCGTGAAACAATCTACGCATAATGGCAAATCACACATCCTGCACAAGAGTTTGGTCCTCTTTTCAATTTTTCTTTGAGTGCAGCGATAGCATCTTCTTCTTTTAGGCTCTGTCTCAGGTAAATGATCACCAACATTACTTGCATCCGTGCATGGTTGTGAGTGTAGGCCAACTTTTCTGGTGCTTTTACGTTTCACACCTGTTCTACCATGGGCTATCAGTAACTCCGCTAGTTTTACCACATATTGAATGAAGGTAGTATTTTTTGGATGTGTTTCTCTAAATAGTATAAAAGGATATGAACCGCCATCATAAGAGATTTATAATAGATTTTTCGCCACCACTTCGCAGATTTTCTGTTGATATCATATAGAGGAACCATTTGATCGGCATGGTCCACGCCGCCCATATACTTATTGTAAGACTCTATAGCTTCAGGGCACGGAACTTCTGAACTAGATCTTTCATTTTTCTTTTAACTTTAGTTATTGTAGCTTTATGACAATTGGAAAGTAAAACAAGGTCTTCAGTATCTTGCCATCTAATAGCTAAAGTTCCCTGATTATATCTAATTTGGGATTCCCCTATTGCCAGTTTTCCTTCAAACTTCGGCACATCCTTACGATTCCTCATACAGGTCCCCACTGCAGCAAATTCAATGTCATTCATCAACTTTACTGATGTGTAAAATCTGTCAAAACACAAAACTACATTTTTTGTTTGACGTATTGAATAGGTCAGCTTTTTCACTACACGTTCACCGAGGGTTCCTTCGGTGACCTCCGTTTCCTTGCCAGTATAAATATTCAGGTCACAAACGTACCGTGTCAATGAATCACATCTTGTCCATATTTTAATTCCACGTTTTACTGGCTTTAGTGGCATGTATTGTTTCAGGGTCGACCTACCCTTAAATTTTGCCATTGATTCGTCGATACATTGAAACGTAGAGTCTCACTTCTTGCCTGGGAAAAGGTTTTTTTGAAGCATGATAGTACTTCGTCCATGTAATGGATGGATTGTCGGGCTTTTCAGGTTCGTTGAAATACAACTTTGATAAAAGTAGTTGACATCTATCCCTAGATATAGCGTGTTTTATTGCTTCGTTACCAAGAGACGGATTATTTGACCAATACATTGCAAATGTTGGTACTCTATTATAATGCATAATCAAACACACACCAGTTACTAGCATAATTTCCTTGGCATTGGTTTTTTAATTTTTTTTCTTTATAGTTTTTTCGTGAATTTCTAGCCTTTGATTTGTGCAATGGGCAATATAAAGGAATAGACTTCTTGGAAAGACCTTTAGAAAGCAGTTCAATTCAGTACTGCCACGATTTAGGTCACACTATATGGTAGGTTTACTTCAGGGGGTATAGTTTTTCTAGAAACAAAATTTTCGTTGTTAGTAGACCACAAGATAATTTTAGCATCCAGCTGTTGCTTTGCTTCATCAGTGTCTTCATCTTCTTCAACACTCTGCATATAATCTTCATCATCAGAAGAATTACCATCACTTCCTTATGACCCAGATGAAGATGATGGAATGAAATTTTGATCTTTCACGCTGTCGTCACTACTATATGGATCGGACTCATCTGCTTCTCCCACACTCTCGATTTCACTCAGGTGTTCAGCATAGTACTCCAATTCGACCTCTGTAAGGGCATTTTTTCTGGCACTCATGCTGTAACAAAATAAAAAGTTGAGAGTGTACAAGCCTAATGGGACACATCTGGCCCGGTATGAATACCTGTTGGGACATATATGACCCAAGGATAAATAATGAGAAGAAACACTCAAAAAAATTAATTTATTGTGTTATATTTATATGTAAATACTTACTTTTGTGCTTTCAGTTGCCGACTTTCTACAAAACAGCTATAAATATTTGAAACAGATCACTATAAATGCATGTAAAACAGTAAGACATGCGCTGTCTAGATGTATACACAATCACACCTCGTGTTCAACTGCTTGCATTTTGCTGCTCCATGTTGCCACATAGTAAATTATTCTCACACAACCATAAAATACTGATATGTCCCAGTGCGAGGTATTTCAAATACGAGGAGGTCATTTCGGGAATCTATCAAAAGCTGCTGGGACATATGTGTCCCTACAGGAGTGAAAGGGTTAAGCTTACCATCAGCGAGCAGTACAAAATAATAGCGAGAAAATGGCAACGGAAACTACTTTACGTATATAATTTCTTTTATCTGCGAAAACCACTATAAAAAGTTACTCGCACAAAAAGGAATGAAATAGTCTTCGCTGTGCCACGATTTTGAGCGTCATGTAATAGTGGCAGGCACTAACTTTATTAATTCCAAATCTTTTTTTTGTTTTACTGCGCGTGCTCAGATGCCAAATCGTCCAGGAATTATCAGTACCTGACTTTATTAGAGGTTTATTAACTCCCTTTAAATGAAAAAAAGACATCCAGTCGACTTGAAGTTTTCATCAGTTCGAATTTCAGACTGACAATACTCTTTTAATCTGACAAATGCTGGCAGCGGAATATTTGTTCCTTTGCCAGCCGCCACATAATACAGATTTCACTATAGAGCCCGCGCACATATTTGACAATCCATGTTTCCCTTTTTTCCAACTTGTGCGCGACGATCGATTAAGTTCCCCCACTATATGCACTTAGGTCCCAGCTAATAGTAGATATATAAGTATAGATATGTAGGCTTAGGGAAATAAAACCATTATAATATTCTGTAAACAAATAAAAACATAGCATTTATTTTTACAAAACAGTCGTTAGCCAAGCAACGTCTGGATCCAGGAAGAATTCTTCTGACATTCGCTCTTAATGCCCCATAGTAACATCGGAGCGTAAATCAGCAGTACAAATAAAGCATTCTGCAGGATTGCTACGAAGACTACCATAATGGAAGCTCCTATCCATGTCACAAATAGGTTGGATAGTATAAAGATAGGCACGAACCACATCATCCCATATAGCAACCTTGTGGGTAGATCAACTTCTCTTTCCTTATGCTTTCTCATACCTAAAACAAAAGGAAAGAATGCTATCACGCTCATGTGAAATCAGGTCTTTTATGCCACGGAGGCGATTTACATTTTTGTACACAAGCCATTTCAATATTATGTTCAATGGGTGCTCCAGCATTTTAACAAACGTCCTGCAAAAAATTTGTTTAACTGCCGAAAACCACTCTCCTTTTTAAGAAAACCAACAGATTTTATGAAGACGTCGATATAGCGACACGCCACGTAACAGACCGTCTGCGCCAACCAGTGCACTCAAGCTTGCTAAGCTGCGCGCTGCCAAAATACATCTGCTCATCTCTACCTAGCCTAGCCGCGATTAAACCGCTGATCCATCTAAGCATTTCATCAAACTGTAGATGCCTTATACAAATTTAAATCCCTGAGATACTTAAGACCAAAGTTCTCCATTGTATCTAATGTATTTAATTTTGGAAGAGTGCCCTAAGGACTGTAAAGATATATGGCCGCATAGGTACACTAATTCTATAACCAGTTTAGTATAATTGAAAATGATATTGTATATGCTACACCATAGGTAGCAGCGCTGGCCGCAGTAGTAGACTCTTCGGTCTCCTGAGCAGTCGCCGTGCGCTGTGCGGGTTCGAATCCCGTCCCAGGAGAAACTTTTCTCTTGGCTATGGATGTTGTGATTGTCCCAAGGTGGTAGATGGTCTCTGACTGTCGAACGCGGAGGTACCACCCGGCGGATCTCGTAGGCGGAGCCAAAATGTATGCATGTTGCATGCACACGTGTTCCCTCGCCAGAGTCCGTGTGGCGTTCCCCCTTTCCCCTGTATCCCCTATAGCCCCACTATACCCAATGGGTGTTTAGGCCTTAGGCCTTCGTGGTAGTTGGAGTTTAAAAAAAAAGAAGAAAAAGTATCTAATTTCCCGAAGGTTTTAAAGAATCCATTCTTAGGTCTGCTCCTAATATCTACTCGAAAATTTGCACAGTTCATTGACATTTCACTTAAAACATATTTTCATGATTTTTCAGTACCACATCATTCCACAAGTTATATTTTCAAAAAAGCTGCATGAACAGGATACTACGGTATTTAGGTCCACAACACACCTAAGATCTGAGGAAACTGAACAATCCATTCCTGATCCGGTTTCGAAGACGCTGTCTTGCACATGCTACTCTAATACTTCTAGCAACCATGGGAAATGAGGCTGCAGCCATTATCAGAACCATCTTCACTGCAATCAATCCACCGAATACCAGCATCTGGAGCGCGGCTACGCTAAATACTTTGGCCATGATCAGAACCGAAGCAAAGTACAGGCTCGAGACGTCAGTGACCTTTCTGGGGCTTGCTCTGTGGTCACCTGAAAATAAAAAGATCTCGATGCACGATCAGCGAATTAAGAGTATATGAAATATTTAAAAATATTGATAGTAACGTCTTCATTAAATAATCTAGAGGGACATTAACAGCGAAGTTTAGCCAAGGCTACTCTTACACATAACTGATTATGTCAGTTACATTAGATGTTCAGAATAAGAAAGAAAGCAATAATAACATAAACACATATAACTAACTAATAAAAAAACAGACATTTTGCATCTGTAGTAAGTATAGTACTTGTTTAACCAACAGCGACCATCATATTTCTAGTATGTTTTCTGAAATTCTGCAAAGACAGCTATTTGCCAACTGATTATAAAATAGCGCTGGGACTTACAGTCTCTTTGGAATCAGGCGGTAAGTCTGTTTCAGCAAACGGCTACGAAATCTTAATTCGATCTCAATTCATTCTCCTAGATTATTCGCTGTTTGAGGATGCCGCAAAGTTATATCGTCAAAAGTTAAATGAAAAGAGTATTCGACGATTTTTATCTTCTAATCAGAACAAAACAATAGCACTTGTGTTTTATTGGGATTTATATCAAGATTACCATCCACAGAAGATTGATGTACCTTTTCTAAGTTAAGCTGAAAAATGGTGCATCTGAGGCGTCGAAATAGTAAATTATCGGGGTATCATTAGCAAATGTTTGAATTTCTCAATTCTCGACTATTTCATGCAGGTCAAAGGTATATATTAAAAAACACAGGGCCCAAAATTGAGCCTTGTGGAACACCTGATGGTATAGTGGCAATATTAGATTGAATGTTATCCATAGAGACACATCGCGTACAGCTTGATAACCTCAACTTTGCAGATAAAAGTTTATGATTCATACAACAATTGATACAACTGCCGTGACTAGCTTTTTGTCCAATATCCTAATAACATTATCACAAAGATCTAACAGTGCTGAGGTTGTACTATGATGCTTCCTGAAGACCGACTGATATGAAGATATTGTTTAAGTTCCTCTATGTAATGAAGAACTCTCATAGCTTTAAAATTCTACACAACAACATCCGTAGTATTGCCAAAAACGTGGATGAGTTCAAAATGTTATTAGCTAATATAAGCTCAAGTGTCGATTGCGTTGTACTGACGGAAACGTGCATAGGTTGTATCGAACAGTGAGCTTTATAATATTGCGGGATATGAACTCATTTATAATGAAGGTGCAGTCAATCAAAACGACGGTGTCATGGTATACATAAACTCGGACTACAATTACAGATTCGAAATAATACCGTTAAATAACAATAAAGTCATAAAGCTTACTGTGAAGGTAACCGATTCCGATGACTTGAGCTTGGTAGCAATTTACAGGTCTCCTTCAACAGTAATCTGTTTGAATTCCTTCAAAATCACAATACTAGGGATGCTACATATTCCTTCATCGTTGGAGATATTAATATACATAGATATTTTGAAAAATGAAAGCTATTGCACAGATTATCTCAATACATTAAGCGATTTTGGCTACCAGTCATTAATAAATAATCATACGCGGGTTCAGCATAATAATGGGTCATGTATTGATCATATATTCTCTAAGTCAAAATATGACATAACTGATCAAATAATACCCTTCATCGTACAAACTGATATCACAGATCATTACGCAATAGAATGTCAGATGGTACTTCATCAACATAATAAAAAATCAAACAAAAATGAGACGAGATACAAAAAACACTAATCTAAATAAATTGAAATCAACTATAGAAAACACTTCCTGGAATGCCATCTTTTTAGCTGATGAGCCTGACTCAGCAACTAACGCATTTGTAAACATCATTTCTCGAGCCATAGATGATTCTTCATTTTAAAAAAAAAAAATGTAAGGAGAAACACAAAAATAGCACCATGGATCACAAACGGCCTCATTAAATCTATAGACACTGAAAATAAACTATTTAATCGCACACGAGATAACCCACGCGACTATTATCAAAATCAAATAGTAAGCAACTCAGCAAACCAAACCTCTCTTTGGAAATTGGTAAGAGGGATAGCTCAAAATAAAAAGAAAAAGGAAAATGTAACAACGATGAAGATGGATTCCGGACAACTTCTAATAGATAAAAAAACAATAGCAAACGAGTCCAATAATATGTTCAGTGTAATAGGACAAGAAATGGCCAGCAAAATTAATAGACACCCAAATTTTCGTCCACGTAGGAAAACATTCCTAAATCATTTGTTCTTCTCCCAACAAATATTGAAGAAATGAAGCACATCATGAGAGATCTCGAATAAAAGAAATCTCCCGGAACAGATGAAATTCGCGCTAAAACCATAAAGTTCATTTCCGAGCACATTGCAGAACCACTAACATACATCTCCAACTTCCGTGTAGCACAAGGTTTTTGGTTACACCTATATACAAAAAAGGAGATAACCAACTAGTAATGAATTAGAGGCCAATATCACTTATAACACACCTTTCAAAAATATTCGAAAAACTACGAAAGAAAAGATTATTGTCCTATCTTGAAAAATACAAAATTACATCTAACAAACAATATGGTTTCAAACATAAAGTATCTACAGAAGATGCTATTTTAGCAGTCACCTCAAAGATATATGGTGCCTTGGATGAAAATAGTCCTAGCCTCTGTGCATTCATCGACTTATCAAAAGCGTTCGATGCGTCAGTCATGAGTTACTTTTACAAACACTAGAGGACATAGGTATCAGAGGGAATTACATAAAGCTTTTTGAGAGCTATTTATCTAACCGTACCCAGATTGTTAGATTAGATAATGAAGTGAGCGACATAAGCATGATTGAGTACGGTGTGCCGCAAGGCACCGTTCTAGGGCCTATACTACTTAATATTTACATCAATGAGATGTTTTCGCTCCAATGTAGTGGAGACATCTTTGGATTTGCAGATGACACCGCTATATTTTACAAAGCAGACACTTGGAAAAATCTCGAATCCACCCTAGAGACTGACCTACCAAATATAATGAGATGGCTCCAGCACATGTTATTAACAGTAAAGTGGGAAAAAACCTGTTATATCCCCTTTACATGCAATAAATCTACGAAGCCATCGTTTAGTGATATAAGTGTCAGTATAAATGGGAAACAACATTCAATGAAGCCAGGAAAAAGTGCTAAGTACCTTGGCGTGATTATAGATGAACATCTGAGGTGGGATAAACATACAAACTTCATCTGTAAAAAGTTGCCTACGGATCTCTCAAAACTCCGATGCATGAAAAAAATATTGACAACCTACCAAATGGAAATCTTATATCACGCTTTAGTGAAAGTCACATAAGGTACGGCATAGTAGCATGGGGAGCCGCTTCGAAGACTTATATCCTCCCTGTTGAAATACTTCAAAAAGAATATTAAAACTAACATATTCTAGAGAGCCAAGATTTCCATCTGACCGTTTATACAGTGAAACTAACACCCTAGATATTCGACAGACGTTCTGTTTCAAAATTGCCACTAAATATCACTGTAATAAACAGGTCTCTACGCTTCCAATATACCCATACTCAACACGGCAAAAACACCACCATGTCGTACCATTTTTCCAAGTGTGTAGGACAGCGTTCATATACTTATATTGCTCCTAAACTGTACAACAGTCTTCCACCACATCTGCAACGCATCAACAACTTGGCGCCATCCAAGGAAGCGTTGAGGCAATTCATTTTGAACCAACCACGAGGATCAATAGAGAATTTACTACATTAACAATCTATTGTAGTGTAATTCTGAATCTGTATTGATCAGGTTACATAGATTTATAAAACGATATGTCATCTGCTTATTATTCGTCAACCAACTGTATATTTATTATGTCTGTGTGATAGGTTTCTTTTATTAGCCTCTGTTTTTTTGTTAGTATTTTTGTGCGGTATTTCCTCGTTCAACCAACTCGTGGCTTTGTCCAAGGAAGCTTTCATTTGCGTTTTGGTTAATATTCTAGTTTTATCTTTTGACGTTAGATATGCATGGATAGGGCTACATATTGATTAACTGTTGAATTCTAAGGAAGTCTAGCTATAATCTTGTTAATTTTATGGAGAAAATAATTCTAATCTTATTATCAGATTATGAAATCCTCAGGTCGATAACGTATTCAGTTTCTTGCTCTAATTTTTTTATTCACCACCGCCTAATATTGAGTCACTAAATTCTCATATTCCATTTTCACATTCCATTCAATCTTCTAATGGATCCATCACTAGAGTTATGCCCGCCAAAATTATTTAAAAGAAATTAATTTAAAAATTCAATAATTTCGATATACTTACAATACTTACATGGCTGGACGGAGCTCATATGTTTTGCAGAAAATGCCTTAAAATTAGAACAAAGAATTGGTTTCAACCTGCTATTTTTTATTATTCTATTTCATTGATTTGAGTAAAGCGTTTGACTGTTTGGATCATAGAATGATTCTCCTTCGAATCAGCTGCCTGGTTCCAGAGCTATCAGACTGGGCGCGTAAAGACGGTCAAAATTGAGCATTGTCATTCTGATGAAAAGGAACGGGCTACTCGTGTCCCCCAGAGCTCCATTTTGGGACCGATTTTGTTCACTTTACATGTCTTAGACCTAGCTAATTCCCTTAAGTTCAGTCGTGTGCACTCATATGCTGATCATACTTAGATTTGTTTATCATTTACTCCCTATGTATATCGAAGCAAACAAAATGTTAGCTGTAGATTTGAACAATTTATGCAAATGGTTAGAGAAGCACGTTCTATGTATTACTTCTGGAAAGCCTGCTGTCTTTACGTCCAAATCCAAAAACAGTACTTTCGATAGTAAACTATTGAATTTATGTATTAAAAATGAAGCATTGGCTCATAACTCGACAGTACGCATCTTGGGGATCGTATTTGTCGTACGCGAAA